CAATAATATTCCCTTGTATCCTATATACGTTAAGCCTGTAACGTTAACTGTAGTTTATAAATCCAACCTGCCTACTTGAATATGATTTGATCACCCCCTAAATATAATTTCGAACCGGCATTCCTTGACATTAGGTTTTATTTCAAGTGTCCCTAATTACCTCATTCCCTGGGGTAATTAGGGATGCTTTTATTTTGCATCTGACACTTTACAAATAGCATATGGAATTTTTTTGGAGATACCATTTGATAGCCCTTGCAAAGATGTTTAAAATGAGCCCAAACTCGTTTATGAAATGTTTCATGGTAAGAAGTTATTAATACCAAGCGTGCTTCATAATAATAATCAGTGTGCTGCTGCTGCTATTAGGACAAGCGCTAGCGCTGCTGCTGCTGCTGCTGCTGCTAGCAGGATGAGCAAGCTGCCACTGCTGCTGGCCTGCTCTTTTGGAGCGCGTAGCCCTCCCGCTATTATTGTAGTGAGCGCTCTACTACCGTCAACCGGGGCTACTTGGGGCGGGCGGGGTAACTCGGGACAGTCCTCCGACATGACATAAAACTGTTTTAGTAGCAAAACTAATTGGAATATTGCAAAACTAAATATAGTGGCATAAACGTCAAAATTTTTCCTATCTATGTAGTATAAAGGAAGTTCAAAAATACTGCATTTACTAGCTTTGAAAAATTCCTGAATAAAATGGTGAAAAATATATTTTGAAAAGTTACTTCTGCTAAGGTCTGTAGTAAAAAAAATATTTGCCGTATTAAAAAAAAATCGCTTAGAAAAAAGTGTAAGACAAGTGTCAGCATGAAAACTTTATTTGCAGAATTTACATACCTCAATCCAAAAAAAATGGCGGCCATTTCCGCACAGCAGGGCTACTCGGGACACCCCCCCCCCAGGCTCTTCGGGACACCCCCAAAAACGCATTTACAGTAGGACCCTACAGTAGTTAGCAAAGGCTCCAGTTAAGAAAAAAATTGATTCAAAACAAAAAATATTGATTACATTTACCTTGCTCAGCAAAAAAAATTTCACTTATCAAAAAATTAGTGCATCGTCGGTCATCACAAAATTGTGCATAGAATGTCATATACAGAATTTTGCACCAGGCATCATAGAATGAAAAGTAATTGACCTAAACTATGATTTATTTCTCATACCACTAAAATATTCCTTTCTGTTTCAGGCATGTTTTTTGCAATCTTTTTTTTTTATAGTAAATTCACTTAACCCAAGTAAAATGGTGTGAAATTACAAGCCGTCCTGTAAGCTTACAGATACAGAAAAAATGCTATAAGGCTGCTGATATGAAGCTTGCAGTGGACAATGTAGTTGAAATGCTCAATGGCCTGTTCATGGATATGGTAATATCACATCAATAATACAGTAATTAATGTATATGGTAATATCATATCAATAAAGGAAAAATGAGTAAAAATCACAGAAAATGTCACTTATTCTACCTCTACATCATCATCTCTACTTATTCTACCTCAAGAGGAGGACTTCAGAGTACTGTTAGTAATGGATGAGTACACTCTGCATGCTTCAAATGTTTTAAAATTAAGTTTTAATCCAAGTGTCCTGAGTAGCCTTTGGTGCTGCTACTTGGGACGCTCATTTTTTGCTCCTGGCACCTTACAAATAGCATATGGAATTTTTTTTGGAGAAGCCATGCGATGGCCCTTGCAAAGAGCTTTGAAATGAGCCTAAACTTGTTTATGAAATGTTTCATGGTAAGAAGTTAGGAATGAAAAACGTTCGAAATCGTCCCAAGTAGCCCCGGTTGACAGTATTTTTGGCCACCGCACTCCTCAATCACATAGGAGCATGGTCATTTAGAATACCACAATGGACTACAACCTTCTTTGAAGCAAAGTTTATAGACTACACCAGATTCTTCTTTCATGATTGATATTTGATAGGGCCAACATGTAAATCCAGACTGTAAATAATGGCACGGCATTGTTCAAGGATGATGAATTTATTGCCCCAAAGACATCAAGATATGATCTAAGCCAGGCTGGAATTCTAGGATAGTACTGCATAAAGCTTCTGTCATTTTTGGGCATATGCATGCTCACCTCCAGACTGAGATTGATTGTGTCCAATATGCTCTGTGTACTGGTTAATTTAATATCCCTCATTAATTCCATGAGATTTTAAATTGACCAAAGTATGTGCCTTTAGAGCTGCAATATTTCACTATGAAGTTAGATCTTTAGATTCTGTGCTCTAACTGTAGGAGGTGAGTCAACCAAATCACCCTCAAGCCCTAAGTGGAAATAATATGACTTCAGACAGATTTGTATGCCTGTTAATGAAGTCTGTAGATGGCTTAGGCTGCAAAAATGGCCACTAATTCCGCAGGATGCACAAAATAAATAATTATTTAAATCAAATTCCGCACTGCAATCAAAGAAGTGAAATCTGTGCAAAGTGCCAAGCATGAAGCCAGGAAAATTAGTCTTATGAATGCCAGACGCGCGAAAGAACAGTACCTAGCGTGAGAATGTTCAAGATATTACCCCTTCTGTGAGAATGATCAAGATCTCTTACCAAATCCATGCAATGACTGTCCTGTGCAATTCCATAAGAATTGTGAATTATGGTACTATTGTTTATAACCAATTGGGCATCAAGCTATAATTACAACTTTTATGATGCCACTCTATGAAAGTTGATCAACATATTTACCTTAGTCATGGAGATGTATTTTTTTGCAGGGTTTTTGCCAAAATCAAGATTGGAAGAAACATGCTCTGTTGCAAAAAATTAAACTTTTTACTAGAATATTTTTATCCAAAGTCACATATTTTATTGGAATTTGAAAGTTGCCTTTCATTTGTAGAATTTATTTACAATTAAAAAGGAGACGGTTAATTTAAGGGAATAATGTAGCTTCTAGTATTTCAGGAAAGGTGTGACTGGATTCACGGTGTTGACAATGTCCCAAAAAATTTCAGTGCTATGATTTGGTTTTTAGCTGTTGAATCTTTTACATGCTATGGGAAACAATATCAACTTATGAACTTAGTTATTAAATCAATAATTTTGTGTGAAATTACTAAATTCAACTTATAAATAGAAATGAAAATGTTCTCCCTTCTGGAGGCTAAATTAAATGTATTTCTTAAATCTATGGGTCAATAAGATAGTACCGTCAACCTGGGCTACTCGGGACAGGCGGGGTAACTCGGGACAGGCGGGGTAACTCGGGACAGGCGTGGTAACTCGGGACAACTCGGGACAGTCCTCCGACATGGCGTAAAACTGTTTTAGTAGCAAAACTAATTGGAATATTGCAAAACTAAATATAGTGGCATAAAAGTCAACATTTTTCCTATCTATGTAGTATAAAGGAAGTTCAAAAATATTACATTTACTAGCTTTGAAAAATTCCTGAAAAGTTACTTCTGCTAAGGTCTGTATTAAAAAAAATATTTGCTGTATTAAAAAATTTTGCTTAGAAAAAAGTGGCAGACAAGTGTCAGCATGAAAACTTTATTTGTGGAATTTACATACCTACCTCAATCCAAAAAAAATGGCGGCCATTTCCGCACGGCGGGGCTACTAGGGACACCCCCCCGGGGCTATTTGGGACACCTCCAAAAAACGCATTTACAGTAGAACCTCAGTTAGCAAAGGCTCCAGTTGAGAAAAAATTGATTAAAAACAAAGAATATTGATTACATTTACCTTGCTCAGTGAAAAAATTTCACTTATCAAAAAATTAGTGCATCATCGGTCATCACAAAATTGTGCATAGAATGCCATATATAGAATTGTGCACCAGGCATCATAGAATGAAAGGTAATTGACCTAAACTATGATTTATTTCTCCAAAACATATGATGGTTGTCACTAAAACATTCCTTTCTGGTTTGGGTATGTTTTTCATAATCTTTTTTTTATAGTAAATTCACTTAACCCAATTAAAATGGTGTGAAATTAAAAGCCGTCCTGTAAGCTTACAGATACAGAAAAAATGCTATAAGGCTGCTGATATGAAGCTTGCAGTGGACAAGGTCGTTGTCAATGCTTAATGGCATGTCCATGGATACAGTAATAGCACATTATTAATACGGTAATTAATGTATATGGTAATATATCAATAAAGAAAAACAAGTAAAAATGACAAAATGTCATTTATTCTATCTCTACATCATCTAGAATGAAAGAGAAGGACTTCAGAGTACTGTTAGTAATGGATGAGTACACTCTGCATGCTTCAAATGTTTTGAAATAAAGTTTTATTCCAAGTGTCCCGAGTAGCCCTGTTTGACGGGGCTACGCGTGACACACTTTTTTTTTTTGCTTCTGGCACCTTACGAATAGCATATGGAATTTTTTTGGAGAAGCCATGTGATAGCCCTTGCAAAGAGCTTTGAAATGAGCCTAAACTTGTTTATGAAATGTTTCATGGTAAGAAGTTATGAATGAAAAATGTTCGAAATCATCCCAAGTAGCCCCGGTTGACGGTATATCAACAAATAATGTGCATGAGTTTTTTGATGAGGCTTGTGAGAATCCCTGCTCACTAGCTCTCTGCTGCTGTGAGGAAATGGAGAGAATGTGAGGAAATTATGTATTATTACTTCACGAGATGCTTGTCTCTCTTTGTGTAGGTTACATCATCAATGAATATAGCCAGCACTTCTTTAGTTCAATCTCTTCCACATTATAATGAATTTAAATATTTATTCACTCTAAGTACCTAATTCAGAATATTTGCTTGGCTACTACACAGCATAGTAGATAATATCTACCCTTCAGCCTTGTTCTGTAGCATACTTACCACACTGTGTATTAATTTTGTTTTCAATTTATCTGAATCTGACTCCATTTTCTTAAAGAAATAGCAGAAAATAAACTATGTCAATACCTTCAGTTTTCATAAAGCTCAAGAAAATGATTTTTTTCCAACTATGTATGATAATTTACTGAAATTTTTGGTAGGAAAAGTTCTTATTCATATAAGTCTGAATTACCTACTCACTATTATCAACATCTATTTTCAGTGAATTAGTTTCTTCTGCCCTTTATATTAATTAGTACCAGGCTCAACAGACAAATAAATCATGAAAATAAGACGATACAAACGTGTTAAGGCTTCCATGGAATTTTACAAGAAAAATTTTGGGTTTCGAGCACCATATAATGTGCTGATTGATGGAACTTTCTGTTTTGAGGCAAAAGAGGTGAGCAATTTCTTAGTTCTAATAATTAATTGCATGATGTTTATTGATGAGGTAGCTTGTTACACTTCAGTTCAGGAAGATTGCAATCTTGGATCATTGATGAATTCAGTGTTATGTTGGGTAGATGTATTACCTATGACATCATTGCAAAGTGATAGAAAATTTGATGATTAATGCATATCTCTAGACTGACTTTGCTACTCTTTGATTCCTAGATTTTTAACATAAAATGAATTAATCAGCATAACAGCATATACCATAAATATATTATGCATGTTTAAGTCAATTGTGTGAAACAAATAGAATAGTTTTTAATATGATAGTGAAATTATTGTGAAATATAATATATTTAATGAAGAAATACATGGTGAAAATATCCTAATTCTTGATGTTCCAGAAAAAAGTCAAAATCCGTGAGCAACTTCCTAACTACCTGAGGAGCGAGCTGAATATTGTGACCACTCAATGCTGCATCATTGAAGTTGAGAACCTGCTTCGACTTAGTGAGTTTATGTTTTACCATCTTTCTGAAGTGGAAATCAAGAAAGTGGCTTTCAATATGCATTATTAATGTGCGCTTTCCATGTGCATTAGCCATGTTTGACCACTTATCATTGTTTTTTTCCACTAATTATACTAAAGCTTTAATTGAAAATGCCTGAATGCTTTAATTTTAGCTGCAGTTATGCTCCATTTGGGGCGTTCCATGAACATGAAGTAAAAAAAGCTGGTCTCTATGGAGATTTGAAATGAAAATGAAATAGTTGGATAATTGCTTCAGCTGACTTCCTTGAGTGTTTTTTGAATTGATAATTATAAGTAGAGGCAAGATAGATTCTAATTTGGTTGTTGGCTTGGCTGCATGTAAATATTGTGAAAAGACACCAAATTGAAGCATTTATTTGACAATAATTTCTATATAGGTACTAAAATTATTATTATTTTTTTTTGTGGCGAGTCATATCAGTATCAAAATTATTGTTGTCTTAGAAAAATTGTGCCGTGCAAGCGGTTTGATCAAAGTTTGCTTTTCTTCCGCAGAAAAAAGCCTCTCAGGATGCTGCCAGATTCTCAAACAGTTTGCGGTTCATCGCTGCGGACACGAAGGCCAGCCACTCACATCCACTAGCTGCATCATGTCCATGCTTGACAAGGGCAACCCTCATAGGTTGTTGTCTAGCTCTTAGTTACATATATCCATCACTGTCCATCACTACATATATATTTATTATTCAGAGGATTTTCCTTCAGTATAATACGCTATGTTGTTGTTGAGATATACATTTTACAGTATCCATGCTTGACAAGGGCAACCCTCATAGGTTGTTGTCTTGCTCCTAGTTACATATACCCATCATCAATTATATTTATTATTCAGAGCATTTTCTCTCAGTATATGTTGTTGTTGATATGTACGTTGCACAGTACCGTATACCATTTAAAATCATATTGTTTACCTACATCTAGACGTTAGTAATTTAATCGTTTATTTTTATAAAGGGATTGTACACCAAATTGAATGCCATACCGTAATGGCATTTGCTCCTTTTAATATGTTTTTAAGTATTATTAATCACACTCTTTCTTGAACTAATGTTCCATCACTTAAAATTCGAGGCTGATTTAATTTCATGCAGTGTCTTCTTAGTTTTTAATGAATCGTCAAGTTCATTCATGCCTGCACGTCATTGCAATTCTTCATCGCCCATATGGAATCATCCTACCTAAGGGATGTTGTTAGAATATAGTTCAACACTATTCACTTCAAATATAATTAAACACATTTCACTTCAAATATAAGTCAACACCATTCTTCTCAAACATAATTCAACACTATTTACTTGGAAAGCAATTAATACCATAAACTTCAAATATATGTAGTTCAATACTATAACTCACTTAAAATATAATTCAACACTATTCAATTAAAATATAATTGAACACTATTCACTTAAAATATAAGTAAACAATTTTCACTTGAAATATACCTAGTAATTCAGCACCATTCTCTACAAATAAAATCCCACCCCATTTACTTAAAATATAATTCAACACCATACACTTCAAATATAATTCAATACTATTGATGCCATTGTATTATAATTCATAGTTATAATGTTGGAGCACTTGAGTAATGCAAAATTTAACACCATACACTTTAAATATAATTCAATGCTACTGTTGCCACTGTAATATAATTCATAGTTATAATGTTCAAGCACCCGCGTAATGCATATATGTGCTGCAGGTACATCGTAGCCAGCAACGACCCGAGTCTGAGGAACCTGATCCGGCACACCTACTGCGGGGTGCCCCAGATCTTCATGGTGGGCGTGGCCCCCACCCTGGAGAAAATATCTCCTAATACACTCAAGAAGGTGGAGAAGGAGAGCAATGTGTGAGTGGCTGAGAGATGGCTTGTTTTAGTGTAAAATAGTTATTTTATTGCATTGCTTGCGTTCTTCATCATTAATGGGGTTTCATTGTTCTGGAAAATATCTCCTAATACACTGAAGAAGGTTGAGAAGGAGAGCAATGTGTGAGTAGCTGTAGCACGGCTTGTTTTATTGTAAACTAGTTATTTTATTGCATTAATGTGACACGGCTTGTTTTAGTGTAAACTAGTTATTTTATTGCTGTAATTGCATTCTGCACCATTAATGGGGTTTAGCTGCTCTGATGTACGCAATAATGCGTTGCGCTGAGTTTTTCCTCATTTTTAAGTAGCTTAATATCACTAATGTAATTTAGTTAAGCTTGCCTGATGATTTAAAAATATTTTCTGAATCTAGTGTTCGGTCGATGATTTCAGACGTCCAATGATAAATTCTCGGCAGCAGGCTTTCCTCAAGCTATGTATATATGTCTAGCTCACCATTATTATTGAGTTCATCAATATATCTTGGCCCGGTCGTACTACAAAGAACGGTCTTACAGCCGCGTACATTTTTTTTATCTGACGGTTTGTAGTGCATTTTACTCCTAATGACGGGTTCCGCTGTTTAACGGAATTTCTTTTTTATACAAACTCGATTAAGCAGTAGCATTTTATGCACAAATTTATCGCGAGTTTTCATTGAGAATGTATATTTTCAGTTTCGTTTTCAATATTATCGAGCGCTTAATTGTTGTGAGGTATTTTCAGTGGTAATTTAAAATATTAGCATCACGCTAATTAGTATGAAATTGTTGCATAAATGTAGAGTCACGTTTGCCAATTGCTCTATTAAATTGGCTTGAACTGTCGAGTAGTATAATTAGCAGATAACCTCAAGACCTCAGGACTTGTGGAAATTTATAGAAGGCCGTAAAATTGCGGATAGTGTCTTGATTTACGAAGAATACATTTAAAACTACGTTCACTCCTGCTCTCCCTGTGCATTGCAACCATGTCAGCAGTACACGTCGGTGCGCTTGAATTCGTCTCAATTCCCATGAGATAGAAGCTCATAGTTTATTTTGTTGTATAGTATATAAGCTAGTAGGAAGTTATACCACATAATATAGCATAATATAATATAAAAAATAATATAATATATAATATAATAGTAGGAAGTTATGTTACCAGCAGTAAACTGAGGCTGTTACTTTTATGAGCGGGCTAGACATGGGTCATCAAAATACGATTCGTGAGGCTGAGGTTTGACCGTGTGTTGATTAGTCGTGAAATGATTTCCATTTTGAGTGTATTGATATTGATAGTTTTCAAATACATCGTTCAATTCTACTTTGCAGATTGATAAGTGAACGAGAAGTTGAGCGACTGAAGGAAATGAAGGCAACATTAAGCATCACCATGAAGAAATCCGATCTGAAGAAGAATAAAAAGAAAAAGAAACGCAAATTCAAAGCCGAAGATGTCCCTTCTTCTTCATCGTTGGAAACTTCTTGATAATTTGCACGCCTCTTGCAAGTTTAATAAATCAATATTCGTATTTCTCTTGTTTCTTCAATTCACCTTATGGCAGCATGATTTAGAAAGTTCGTTCAAGTAATTGAATTTTTTCATACACAAATTCATCATCATTACACAAATTCATCATGAATTGTAAGGAAAATTTAAATGAGCTATTCAGATGGAAACTTGTATGACTGAAATGTTAGTTAGCAGCTAACAAAACTGAATGATTGGATAGTGAAATATGCGTTTTAATCATTGTGTCGCTGAAGTTGTATACTTGAAATCTTGTTCTCGTCCAGCACTTTTACGATGCTGTTCACCAGGGTTGACATTAAATAATGAAAATTGATTTGTTTCAACAATTTTTATAACCGGCTGAAGTCATCCCGCTACTTGCTGGTCACTCTGTAATGCTGTTCATGGTCGTTCCGGTAGCCGCTATTGTCTCAATGCTGGTCGAAGTTATCTCAGTTAACTGCACTCGTAAACCTTTGATTTCATTGGCTGATTCAGTTCAGGAAACTCACTGTGAAAGCATTAATTTCTTGACCGCATTTTATTGTGGCTCGTAAATCATTACTTACTAAGATGTTTAGGTTGAAAAAATATATTTCACCCATGAAATTTCAGTCTTTGTCAAATCGATTCCCGTATTCGAATTCCCGTGTAATGCAATCGTCTTCGTTGAAAAATCTTCTTAAACGAATTTCCTTATTGAAATTGGTTGTGCCAAAAACCATGAATTGCGGCTATATAGTAACATGACGAAGTTTCTGTAGCCAGTAAGCAACACACATAGGTAGCTGAGAATCTTAGGCCTAAGTTAATATTAATAATAGCGGTTTTAGCGTTTAGTAGTTCGCAGGCCTGTCGCCGATTCTTAACTTCACAGAATATTCGCAGCTTTTTCTTTGCGATCTCGAACTCTCGACTCACTGCTATAATTCTGCTGTGCTTAACCGCCCGGCCTCCTCGCGGATTCTGACCAGAAACTGGCACACAGCTTGGATCGAACCCACACCTCCATGCTCCAATCTTGGTACTCTGAACTTTAAACCACTGGGCCACCCGAGTTATCCAATAGGCATATAGGAAGCTTTTATGTTAAGGACATCCAGCCTGGTTGTCAAGAATGCTTACTATATAGTCAGACAGTCAATAAATAGGCGTTCTGCTGCAATGGAATTGCAATTGTTCACAGCCTGTTCACACGGTAAATTTTTGCTTGTCAAAAAATCACAATGGAAACTAACACTCTGTTGTACTTGAATAAATAGTTAAATCTAGAGAAACATTATGTACGAATTTTTAATTTACAGCGATTCTCATGAATGCCATGAGATAATTATCTTCGTACATGGGCTTTATCATGGAACGACTGGAGCGGGAGACGATCGAATTGCTTTGTCAGTACGAGAGCAACAAGCCTGAGGTGAGGAAATGTGTACAGAAATTTAGTTTTTTTTTCTTCACTTTTTCCCTCGCGACTAAACCAGTAACTACACTGCAGGAAAATAAAAGCACAAATATTTTTTCTTTGTCATTTAACTGCTATCTACGTTATTTTTTGCCCAGCATCGAGAATTTGAATTCGAATTAGTGCAGAAACCAAGTCCGTGAATTGGGCACCATATCCACATTCCCCGAGGCAAACAAACTTCAAATTTTAAATGCCTTTGCTTTCTGTGAAACAAATGTGAAAGTTTTGTCGCTTAAGTACCAAAGTGAAGTATCAAGCATATCGCCACTAAAGTAAGACTTTAGTTAACAATTATACAACATCTACTTTGTTATATCAGATGCTCCAAGCAACGTACAGATGCTTGATTAAGTGCAAGTGAAGATCAAGGACACTAGAATTACTAGAACCTGCCCACTCCTATATTTTTTTATTGAGGAAAGGTGGTTACCCCGATGGCTCGAGGAAAAGCTCCACATTGACTTAAAAAAACTATATATACTTACATACATACATACATACACATACCTACGAACATATATACGTACATATACACACACACACATGCATTGCACATATATAAGGCATTCGACTCATAGGAACAGAGTAAAAGGCCCAAGATTAAATAAGCACTGGCTCCTGTCCCTGCCGTTGTTGCCATGCCTTCACAGCTGCCTTGAAGGCAGTCAGGTGAGGAGCTGCCACGGTCTCCTGGGCGAGGGAGTTCCACCGTCTAGTACCAGAAGGGAAGAATGAATGGCGTATACAACCGTTCTTGCGTGCGGCACTATGAGCTTCTGATGGTGACCTCTGGTGATTCTGACAGCGGGCTGAAGCCTACTAGGTGGGACGTTCATGTCCACCAGCTTATGTATGATTTTATACATCATGCAGGCTCTGCCCGCTACTCTTCTCTGCACGAGTGGCTCGAGGCCTAATTTTGACACCATCGATGAAGCGCTTGAGTGTAGGCTGAAGGCCCCAAGGATGCGTCTTGAGGATCTGCGCTGGACTGCCTCCTGAGGATCGCCAGTTACAGGACTGCGGCCTGTAACTGGCCGCCTGACTTCGGTCTCCCTTCTTGAATACTGGCTGCACCAGGGCATGCTTCCAGATGGCAGGGATGACTCCTGTGGACAGCGATCTGTTGAAGAAAGCCGTCAATGCAGGTGCTAGCTCAGCGGCCGTCTCTCGGAGAAGTCGACATGAGATTTTGTTCGGGCCAGTGGCTTTCCTGGGGTTTGAACCAGAAAGAAGTTTCCTGACTCCTATGGTGGACACCGAAATGTCTGGAATGTTTGGGTGCGGGCTGATGGCGGGGGCTGGCAAGTCGGAGAGATCTTCTCTCGTGAAGGCGTTACAAAATTGATCGTTGAGGTTGACCGCCTTTGCCGCCCGCCGCTGTACGTCAGTCCGTCTCGCATCACGGGAGCGACAATAAAAAGATAAGTGAATAGAGTTTGGTTTATATATATAAAGTGAAACAAATTCTACTTTTTAAAACCATAATTCTACCTGGCATGTACAGCTAGACATTTTCTTGACAAACAAATATTGGAATCCTAATTTTTATAAAGAACATAATTCAGCTAGAAATCAGCTCCTCTCGAATATGGTCCACTTTACTGAGTGGCCAGTAATTAGGAATAATCTTTTCCTGCATTCTCCACCTATGTAGAAATTATTGCTGCATACACTTGTAGATGATATCACGCAGGTATGTGAAAGGAGAACGAATAATAAATAATAAATGTCATTTTATTTTACAAATAATGCCATTGTTACCATGAGAACTATTCCAAACATTTTGAAAGTTATTCTTTACCAATACTTAAGAATACAAATTAATTCAACTCGGTAAATTATGTCATTGTGAGAGCATTCGTTATTTATCTCTTAGTTATAATATTGTGTGCTCCTGCTGAAATAAAGTACTTTTAAATAAATAAAACTAATGCATCAATAATTCTCAAACTCTAGGAAAATTACCGAGAAGATCTTAGTCAAATACTGTTTCTATTACCGTAGAGTTGGGGATATTTTTGCAGATTTCGATGCGGTGCGACGAATTCCGCAAGTAGTGATTATTTATGACTTAGCTTTGACCATTGAATTTTATACTGTTAAAAAGCTATTTAAATGAAAGGCGAAATACGGTTAAAGATAAACAAAAATTTTCAGCATATATGATCCGGTCGATTCTTAGTCAAACCGGACATATCCACGGTCCAAGTCCACGTAGTGGTCTAATTCCACGTAGCGGTCTAGTCCACGTTGCGGTTCAAGTCCACGTAGTGGTCTAAGTCCACGTAGCGGTCTAAGTCCACGTAGCGGTCCAAGTTCACTTAGCGGCGGGTAAGTCCACGTAGCGGTCCAAGTCCATGTCCATGTAGCGGTCCAAATTCGCGTAGCGGTATAAGTCCACTTTACGAGCTGAGTCCACGCAGCGATCTAAGCTCACGTTGCGGGCTAAGTCCACGTAGCGGTCGAAGTCCACGTAGTGGTCCAAGTTTACTTTGCGGGCTAAGCCCACGTTGCGGGCTAAGTCCACGTTGCGGTCCAAGTCCACGTTGTGGGCTAAGTCCACATTGCGAGCTAAGTCCACGTAGCGGTCTAAGTCCACGTAGCGGGCTAAGTCCACGTTGCGGTTTAAGGCCACGTAGAGCCTTAGGTAAACGTAGCGGCCTAATATTGGTGTAGTTTGAGAGAAATTGTTCTCTAAAGCACGTTTCGTTGAGAAAAATTGTTAACTCTTTGGCGGGCAAACATTGAAATATGCAAGAATTTGAAATATTCCCTCCATTACAAAAATGTATGAACTATTCTCAGATGAATTAACTCGTATAGATTTTCTGAATTTCCTTATATTGAAGGAGTAAATCGCAGTTAAATAATTAATTAAATATGGTCACTACGCTAACAACAATTATGTAATCTAAATTTAAGATGCAAGTGTAAAGAGGAATTATACCTGTAACATTAACTTACTTCTATTTCACCAAATTACTTTAATTATTTGAATATATATTGCTAATTCCATCTTTCAAAATATGCGGAAAGAGCGTCAATTTCAAAATCCAGGTCAAAACTGTCACATAAATGTCCATATTTGAAATTTTGGTCACGGTAGGGGTGACGATATATGCATGTAACGCTGGTCATATGATTTGATGATTGGCAGAGGTTTGATAGGGTAGCAGCAAACACAAACTCGAGGCTCTTGTGGGTCTTTTTACAATGAGATTCTAAGTGACCAAGTACAGTAACTGCTTGCTAATATATTAATAATAAATACTATTTTGTCTTCAACGAAAAGTGCATTAAAGTAGCGGGCTTAAGTAGATGTTGCGGTCTAAGTACACGTAGCTGCCCAAGTACACTTGGTGCGCGATTTATTGTCTGCAGTTGGTGTGCTTAGCATGAAAAGCCGTACACGATCGGCTGACACTTTATTTATGCAGCCCATAAACTTCTCTAATGTGCAATTATGTATACATATTGGGAGAAAGAAAACATGGAAGCCTTCTTGCAGCTCATGTCCGATATACAGACGCTAATTTACTTTGATAAATAGGTTGAGTGACTCTTTCGACCGATAAAAACCAAGTCTTAGCTATCTTCCTCAGTTTACCCGGTTCCAGATAATTCTATAGTTACATGGCACTTCTTTGCGAAAAACAGATTTCTTTATAATATTCTCTGAGTTGCTGGTGGATTCGATAATACTTGGTTATTATATACGATTTCGTCTGATGGTCCCAGTTACGGCATCAGATCACAGCTACTTTAATTTCAGACGTGGGTTTACTCCCACAGGTTACACAAAGCAGGGGCCATACTTTTAAAATTCGCTAAGTGAACGTAAGTATTTACGCACTATTTTCTTGTCTATGATTGGTGGATTTTGCTTGAAAGGCTGTCAGTCATTGGCTGATGAACTTACGATCTCTTAACTTTTTTTGAAAGTATGGGCCCAGGTACGCAAGTTCCCGTGTGGCTTTATCGTGGATCTTGGGGCGTGTAATGAACCTAAACGTAATTAGTTAAATGTAATCGAATAATTTAGAATTATACCGGTTCCTTACAGATTTAAATCGATCACAAATAATTCAGTTGGATTTGAAATTCCCGGAAATTTACCGAGTGGGTAATCAAACGGAGTCTAATTAAACACGTATGGCTGAACGAAATACTATGCTGCTATAGTATGGGTTGGATGGCGGACCTAAGTAAATTCACAGTTAAATTAACCACTAGCAACAAAACAAATAACGTACGAGGATTGCAGGTCAATCATAATCCGTTACAGTGGGCAGAGAGGGAGCAGAACACAGCATGTCGACCAGGTCTAAGTAAACAATAACGTGTCAATGAATAGCGCGATTACAAAATGCTGTATCTAAACAGTAATAGTAAAAATTGCAAGATGAATTAGTAATACGTGGATAGTAAAAAGATAAATACGATACATTTATCCCTATCTATAGCTGAAAAATGATAAAATAGATTGAAATGATAAAGATCGCTAACTCGGCTGTCCCTTATTTTGACCCTTTAACTTCCTCAATTTCACTTGTGAATTAAATCCGGGCAATTGTTTATTCGCATGCAGAGAATAATAGAGCGCTTCAAGACATGTTTCAATCGGAGAAATTTGTAATGATTCCCAGTAACAAAAATTATTTGGGCGGAAAAATGAAAAACTTCTGAAATAAAATTTATTGTGAAAAATTATTTTGCATTCGGGATGTTTGGTTTGTTAATAATTAAGTTTAAGAAGAAAGGAGATTCTTATAGTGAGATTACAATATTACAGAGGAAATTCTCCGCCAAAAAGACAAAAATCATTTTATGGAAGTTTTCACTGAGAAACATCTTTTAAAAACAATGGAAAACTTGTTTAGATTATTAACCTTAAAAAATATTCCGAAGCTAAAACTCAATTAGAATATATTGTATTGATTAAATATGCAAAAAAAATCTGACATAAAAGACAGAAAGCCCTTACATTACTGATTTAAAATCAACATCATTATAGTCTTACTCTAGGGTTCTTCATGAGATATTGCAAAAATCTAAACATTTCTCTTATGAATCCATTATTCAAACCCATTAGTCATTTGTGGAACTGAAATTAATCTTGGCTCTTTTCAAGTTATTATTGTAAACATTCACAAAACCCATAAAATTACGCTTTCAGTACAAAGGTTCAAGATAAAACATTGTCATTACTAATGCCGGTTTTACTTCACCAACAGTACCTTTATAGAAAGGTAAAATACCGATGAAAATTTGCTCTAATTGATTCCAAAATTGTAATACCTTTGCTAGAGTAAATTAAAATGTTTGGCTCTATCGTTGAAGATGGCTGATTTCTTACAAGCAAATGTACGCTAAATAATGCGCCAATAACAGAATTAATGCAACAGAAACTGTTTAGTTTGCTCTGGGCTTCTTCGAGTAACAATCCTTACAGAGCGGGATACTTCACAATCACTTGTATACCATTAAAGTTACGTATAAAATCTGATTTAAACATAATTTCTCAGAAGTTCTTTCCAAAAAGCATTCACTTTTCAGGTGTAACTTTCAGAACTAGCTAGCACTTTTTGTCGAAGAAAGCACTGTGGCTCACAACCCGTTATCCAGTTCATATTATAATCTTATTTCATAATTTCTCAATTTACCATCTCCGATAAACCATCTTGCAACTTAAAAATAAAATTTTTGAGGCAAACTCAATGGTTTTCAATTGCGGTGCCAAACTCTTTGTAAACTCACGCGTTGTAATAACAAATCTACGACTTTTATTAAAAAATAATCCCAATAATTATTCAAAACCTGGCAATGTATTTGATCATTTTACTTGAAGTTGCAATATTCCTGGAAGTTTGTGAGATACGTGGAGGCCGCTAGAAGCATCTGCTGCAGCTGAGACTGAAAAATCCGAGGTCGTACGAATAATTAGATAATTGGTTGAGAATTATCTCTATTACAAATCTTTGATTATGAATCTTCGTTAATTTAGGCTCCTTAAATGGTACAGGTTTCTAGGTTACACGAGTTATTAATTCCAGATAACCCTTATATCGGGAATCAATCTAACAATGCACCAATTTTTAAGATTTTCTCACCGATGAAAAAAATGTATGACTGATTTTCAAGTCCTATGTAAGTAGCGTAGATTTTTACGTAAAAATTAACGTTGATTATATTTTTATATCCTGAACAAAACCCAGAGACTTTAAATTCCACCTCACAGAGATAAAAATAGTTTCACGCTGTCAAATGTACTGTTCACGCTACATACATAGGTGATTCAATGTTGCGTAATAATTTTTAGACTTTATAGAATACAAGGAAAACCTTATTGCGCTCGACGCTTTGGAAGCAATGAGATATCGTATTGAATTTAATTCGTATTGAAGTAAAATAGTATAATTAAACTAATCAATTAATTAATTAGTAAAGCAAATTACGGTGATTTCTCACAATTTTGCACACTCGCTACGTTATCAATCAAGGTATTATGCACACTTGCTACCGCATCCATCCACGAAAGTATTTTGCACACACTCTACCTCATCCACCAAGGTATTCTGTACCCTATCAGCCTCATCCACCGAATAGTTCCACACACTCGCTACCTCATCCATCAAGGTCTACACACTCGCTATCTCATCCACCAAGGTCTACACACTCGCCACCTCATCCATCAAGGTCTACACACTCGCTACCTCATCCACCAAGGTCTACACACTCTCTACCTCATCCATCAAGGTCTACACACTCTCTACCTTCTCTACCTCATCCACGAAGGTATTCTACACTTTCTCTACCTCATCCACCAAGGTCTACACACTCACTACCTCATCCACCAAGGTCTACACACTCGCTACCTCATCCACCAAGGTCTACACACTCGCTACCTCATCCACGAAGAATTGCGAGCGGCACCGGCGCAGCTTGACGGCGGTCCTGTAGACGTCGACGTCCTGCCGCTCCTTCAGCCTGTCGACGACGCTCAGGACGCCCGCTGCCAGGCCACAGGCAGTCACGCCGTCCCTGGTCAATAATTTAGGTACAAATCACAAGGAATACTCGAACATCGAAGGAAAACAAGAGAATGATTTGCAATAGTATGACGTTGACAATCAAACAATTGATTGTTTGATTGTCACAAATTGCAGCGTCATATTTCCCTTTCCGAAAGTCACCGACTCAAATTTTCTAGCACCGATCTGAAGCCAGAATCATCTGTAGACACCTGAATTCTGGCCACAGTGGCCCGCGTTGGGCAGAGATACAACAAGACGAAAGAGGAAACAAGAGAATGATTTGCAACAGTATTACGTTGACAGTCAAACAATTCCACGGCGTTGTGAGCATTGTCAAGGATTAAAGGTCCTGATTTTGTTGGAGTTTTAGTGAGTTTCCATAGTTTTCGTCAACAGTTAGCTCAATGATATAATTCCCAAATATAAATTTTCGCGCAATGATATAAGGATGCACGTGGTTGAAATTAGGGCGGTTTTAATTTTCACCAAATTTTAGGATGAATCAGTTAGTGTTCGGGTCATGTAATGTGTGTATACGCGACTACTAGATACGGATACGCAGTTCGATGAGAGTTTCACTCTTTACTATTTCATGTCTTCCAGCAGGTTCTTGAGGTACGCGGCTTAGCTGGCTATAACAGGTGAGTATAAATAGTTCAATTTTATTGCTAACAATTAAGCCTCACCCGCAGACGAGCGTAGGTGGTCCAGTGGATGTGGATGGTGAGCTTCGGATGACGTCGGCGAGGCTGACGATGGCGGTGACGTCAGGAGGGCACGTCGCGCCCCTAGACCAGCCCTTCACCTCGTAGACCGAGACTGAAGCTGACGTCTGAAAGAGGACGTAGATTTTCGAGAGCCGAATTTTTCGACAGCTCATAGCTGCTTATAATCTTCAGTACTTGTAAAATATATCGATTTAGTTTGGTTTGGATTACTTCTACAAAAAATACATTTCACCCACTTTTTTATGTTATCAGCGTGCATTCAGGTCAATCGCATTACTGATGTTTTCAAACGAGTTTATAGAAAGGAATCATTCTGCCATTCAACGAGAGCAGAACTTAGTAACTATATGAAGAATATCATTTTATAAACTTTGTGCCATTAAACAATAATTCTGTACACCATAATAAATAATTCTGTACACCATACAATGTTAATTATATTTAAATAAAATATATTCCATAGTGTATTTAAGAAAGGGCCCTTCGTTTAAGCATGCCTCGTTAAAAGGTCTGTATGTTTTGCCGAAATTTGTCTGTATACTTTTTATAAAGCATATGCCAAGATGACGAGGGCCCTTTACCCATGTCAGTTCAAGTACTCATAAGTGAACTATTAATTAATTTTTTACCTTCAATCATTATTTTTATCCATTAAACGCCACTCTGGAAAAAGTTGATATGAGAGAACAGAATGAATATGGAAGTGAATGGAACCATTAATTCACCTGGAACTATTAAAGGAACTATTAATTGTTATGGAACTGTGGAATTATTAATGGAACTATTAATATGGAACTATGAATTCACTTTTTAACTCCAATCGTTATTTTTATCTGTTAAACGTTACTCTGGAAAAAGTTGAGAGGGAGAGAACAGCAGGAATATGGATGTGAATGAAACTATTAGTTGAACTATTACTTGTTACGGAACAATGGAACTATTAATGGAACTATTAATATTGAACTATGAATTCATTTTTTAACTACAATCATTATTTTTCTTTCAATCATTATTATTATTTGTTAAACGCCACTCTTAAAGATTTTTCACCTTGCCGTTGGTGACAGTGAGTCGGTGGCCGACGATGTCGGGGGTGTCCAGGAGCTGGGCTCCCGCCTGTACCTTCACAGGTCCTGCCGTGAGGGTGGAGCCGTCTGAGGGGAACAGCTCGGGGAAGTTCTGGATCATGAAAAATATTTTAGGGGATTATTTAGAAATCTTTTGTTTAAGTAATTTGTTGATTAGGTTTGGCCAACTAATTTATAGAGATGAATATACACGATATTTGATTCAAGTAATTTTTCAACATAATATATTTTGGTGCGGAAGTAATTTCGATTTATATCTTAGGTTCGACAAAAATAATAAGAAATTTTTGGAATAATTTTTACAAGTTAAACGCAGGAGTTACCTGAAATTTCCTCATAGCAGCACAACGAAAGTTCTATGAAAAAGTGAACTTTATGTAAAATCACCTCATCATACTGCGCGTTGAGCACCATAACGACCGAGGTTTTCTTGCTGAGCACCATGTTCCAGAAGGGCTCCAGGCGCCCCGGCAGCGGATGCTCCGTGACGATGTAGGCTTCGTCTCCCTGTAGGCCATCAAGACGCACGGCGTTGACGTATTGCTGTTGTCCACCCGGGCCCTGGTAGAGAAATGGAGTGCATGTTGATGTGTTGGATATATTCAGCCAAACATTTAGCTATGTTTAAATATATATCCGTATATTAATATAATACTTACACAAAAATTAAAATATTTAATGAACATTTTACTTGCATAAGAAAGAAAAGTGTGGGAATGAGTTGGCAATTAATTTTTTGGGCTTTTATCACGTATGAACATTCAATGAAGGAATCAAGCTAATAGAAAAAATTAAATAGCAACCGTAACATTTTCATCGATCATTTCTTTTACAACCTGCACGAAGATTCTTTGGCTATCAGCAGGCAAGACGTCCGGCGAGCGGTTGAAAGGCGCGTTCTCTTTCCAGCTCGCAGTGGAGAATGTAAGGGGCGAGGGCAGGGCTTTCAGACGCTTGAACCATCCGGGGCATTGTTCCAGCAACTGCGGCAGTTTATTTTCCTCAAGATCATCCGTAGATTTTACGGTAAGGAAGCCGAAAAGAAGTTCATCAAGGAGCTGAAGACTGAGTTTAAATTGCACTTGGTTCTCGACAAGACGAGCACGACTTTGACGAAGGTCTTTGAGGACGGCCATGATGTTGACTTTGCCAGAAGCTTGGAGGTGGTCGTAGCAGATGAGGTCGAAAAGTACGGTGCCAGTTCGACCGATTCCAGCAGAGCAGTGGACGACCGCGTGGACTGCTCGTTGCGATACAATGGGCATTAAATTACAGCAAGTTCATGAAGAAATTAGTTATAACTCTTCAGAATAAACGCCGACATTTATTTTGCAAAGTTTGACCTCATTTTTATGCGACTAATGTAGAGCCGTGGAAAAAATAGCCTAGTTTAGAAATGACTATTACATGTCCACATATAGTGCTTCAGGTTTGAAGCAATGATTACAGTAATGGAACGCAAATCGATGTTAATCTTTGGCATGAATTCGCTCATATTCCAGTTTCCGATTGATAATTGGTAATTTCGCCGATGGAACGCTCTTAAAACAAGTATTCAAAATAAATGTGCATAACTTATGGGAGAACATAAATGCAGGCAAAAGTCACCAGAAAAGGATTATTGGCATAACATTGTTCAATTAATTTGAGGAATGACTTAATAAGTGTATTCCAGAGGCTTCGAACGGTTGATTTGAGTAGTAACAATTTATTGATATAATTGTTCGTTGTTATAGGAACTCTAATTTCTCAGGGCTTTCGCTACTACCAATGACTAACTGAACTCCTTCTTTAATACGGTCATGACTAATAAAAAAGTAAACGACGATACTTTTTTGCGACCATGACAACGAACTGAAGAGATGTCTCACTGTTGTAGTGACTCGTAGCGATTTCTCTGAGCATGCTAGAGAGGGTGAGCGTCTCAGTGGGCACTCCGTGATCAGGCCATTTGGTGTAGTGGTAGTGAGTGACGCGTCGTACAACAGCCACACCATCCAGCACCAACTCCACCTGCAGCAGGATATTGAGGGTCTTTTACAATGTTGGTAACTTATAATGTTGTAAAAATGTTATAAGCACTACTGCGAGGTATAGCACTCGTCGTAAGTCCTATTGCCAGTCGAGGTAGAGCACTTTGTCTCTTGTGTCCTTGCGAGGCTGGCTGAGCGATTATTTTCACGGCAGAGCGGAGTCCCTCTCCGATCCAATTCCTCGAGCTACCTTTAGAATTTCCAGTCCCGGGTTTACTAGGATTATCCTAAATACATGTAAAGACTGATTGCATTATGACTGAACCCGTTATCACTGCAACGGTCACATATCGTAAAAGACTGTGACACCAGGTTCAAAATTTATAGTTCCAGACACTGTAGCTTGTTACACTTTTTCTCGACTTATTGAAGGTTACATAACAATATCACTACTGAAGGTTACATGACAATTAATATCACTTTATAATATGTTTTATCTGCTTGGATATGACCTGGAGACGTGAGATGGTGCAGTACGAGGTCGTCTTGGTCGTCAATATCGTCACAGTTCCGTCCAAATCCGGCAAGCTGACCTGACCGTCGTAGCTGAAGTATTTGCCCACTTTGTCCTGAAAAAATACATTGTGAATGCATTGATTAGTTTAATTAGTCATGAATGTTTCTATATTACTACATGATATTTTTTTCTCAATCTGGGTACCCTCACTTTCTCACTATTTTTGAGCTAGATTATTTTGTGTGTTAAATATTTTTAATTTAATTGAGGGTCGTTTTCTTCATCCACACCTTATTCTCTTCGATTGATCAACCCTTAACCGGAGTTATTTTCGGCTCAATAGGAGATGCTCGAGTTCATATTTTTATTGAAATAATACTCATTGGATTTTAGTGATTTTCATTAACTAATTATTATAGTGAGAGGGTTTCAAAACCATAATGTGCAGTTTAAGGATGAAAGACATTTCAATGAGCTTACAAAAAACGTTATTTTATTGCAACTAAACTTTGTATTCTTCTGATACTAGGAGTTAATAAATTGCCTTATATGTTTCTTAAATATTTTGAGTCTATTGTAAATTTTAAAAAATTTTTTCTTGATTTGTTGTCATTATAAATATCCTTTCAAATGCCCTCTATCAAAAATAATCATTCCATTTATTAATTAATCGACAATTTCGTAACTTGATTATGAGTTAATCAAACCAATATTTAACTTACGACGTTTTTCTCGACGAAGTTCGCTACCATTATGATGACATTCACTTCTTGCTCGACAATCATCCTCCAGAAGTCCGAGATGGTGCACTCGTTCTCGTCTTTCGGGCCTTGCGATGCGATGTACCGACGATTGCTGACGGCTCCCTGATGGTAAATGGTTACATGTTTGACAATCACTAGACAATCTTAATATAGGTTTGTCGAAATGACATCATCATTGCCAAACATTCGATGAAAACATGGCAGGTTATATCGAAAGATGCGAATGATTTTCAAGAAATTAAAGGGCAAAAATATCGATGATATGTTTCAGTGAGGAAACAGAATAATGAATAATATGACTGACAAAAAATTACAAACTGTTAAAGACGTGACTACGTGCGAGTGACGAACACAAGTTGACAATTTATTGAAGAAAGCAACAGGTACGAGATGAATAATTATGGATTAATAAATATAAATAGCCAAGAAATATTGATATGACTTTGGTATGCGTACAAGTATAAATAAATAAAAAAGAATTGGAATAAAATAATAAATCTTGCGATGCGAATTGAAAAGAATTGAAATAAAAATCTGAGATGATTGATATCTAGTAATTGAAAGTTTATGATTCAAGTATACTGATAGACTGAAGTGGGAAAATTCTCGCATCAAGGGATTTTCACCCTTGCGAGAATTTTCCCACTTTGTTCTATCAGCTTATTGAATTATAAATTTTCAATTACTACTACTATAAATTTGCAATTATTTCAATTACTATTACTAATTGCCAGTCAAATCCCAGTATCACTGAGGAGCAGAGTTGCAAAGCTACTCTGCCGCATTCACATCAAGTTCTTAAGTGAACGTAAACGAATTTGAATTTATCGATTGTATTTCAAACAAGAATAAATATAATTATATGACGTATTTATTACCTTCACCACGTTGGCGTTGATGTAGTCTGAGTTAGGGTCGTTGTTTATAACCTTCAGCCGAACCCTGGTTTCGTTGTCTGAAATTATCAAAAATGCGGAATACAAAAACCTGTTTATAATGAGGATATTGCTTTCAAAGTTCATTACTTTGAAATTTGGTTAACAAGATAAGTAGAACTAAGAATGTGTAAAATTTTAAACGATTCTTGTTGTAATTTGAAGGGAAAAATAACGGTTTGCTTTAAATGTATATTTACCAATGAGTCCAGCGATGCAAATGATAGAATATTCGCTTATAATTATAATTTATAATAATGAAATTTAACATCGTTTCACATATTATAATTAAATTTGACCACTTTAAATTTTCATGATAATTAATTGAAAATTAGAATAATATTATTTTAAATTTAATTTTAATAATATACATTTTATTTTAATTTCTTTTAATTTAATCGGTCAATTAATTAATTGCCCGATAAGCCATGTTACTCACACGGCAGGTTGTTGCGGTAGCGATTCTTGTGGCGGTTTGCTGGCAGTTCGCCGTCAGTCATCGGAAATCCGAAATTCGTGGGCATGGACTGAAGGGAAGTTCTTCATTAGGATGACTAATAAATTTTGTAAAGCTTGTGGTCATGTTAAAAATTTATATATATTTATATATAATGGTATTTTTAATTAGTTATTTTTAGAAAGAAGATCCGTTTATGATAAGTTAATGATTAATGTTAATAAGGTATTTAGGGACTTAAAATGGAAAATACTTCTGGGAAACAATGACTATTGATTTAGGTTGATTATTAGTGAAAAACACATCTAGAGCAAATTTTAGCAGAAAATTATTTAAATTAAGCAAAAATGCGTAAAATCTTGAATACGGGCGTTGATTGAAATTTTTGTTCGAATCTTATAGATTTGATTGTGTAATTGAATAGTCGATTTCATTGTGAAATATAAGAAGTAAATAGATTTAGCTTCTATGGTGAATGAGCATTACCCAGCCACCCACAAATCTTCATTAAATCACGAATAAATTATACAGGCGCTTAAAAAACCTAATTGCCGTACTTGAGAATTACTGTTTCAATAAAAAGTAAACGTTACAACAAAATGAATGTTTGGAGGAAAATCATCCGTGATTCATTTGAATGAATTCAAACTAAAGTTCAATGTTTTATTTCCTGGCAAACAGCATCAATATGGGATTTTTTTGTCGTCGCTTTTTAGACTAACACTGAAATTAGGATTTTTTTTCCAGCGCATTTTCTCATTTATAAAAAAAGGCGCTATTGTACTGATCATGTCCGTCAGTCCGTCTGTCCGTGACTTCACGTTTTCGTCGACGAGAAAATGTGCTCTTTGTCACTCACTGCAGTGAGTACTAAGTTATATTTTTTGCTTTCTTGCATTACTGCAATGAGAAATCATTTCTTACTGAGAATTCTTGGGTCAGTTCACTGGAGCCAATGTTCTTGTTGTGGAAAGCCTAAAACTAAAATTAGGATTTATTTGCATTTTTTAAGAATTCATTTCTTACTGAGAATTCTTGGGTCAGTTCACTGGAGCCAATGTTCTTGTTGTGGAAAGCCTAAAACTAAAATTAGGATTTATTTGCGTTTTTGCTATAAGAATTCAATTCTTACTGAGAATTCTTGGGTCAGTTCGCTGGAGCCAATGTTCTTGTTGAGGAAAGCCTCCATGTCTTGCAGCCTCACGGCGCCGGCGTCAGGCGCTGCCGTCGACTCCTCGTTGACGTATATAGCGTCAGGTTCTGAGACACAATAACAATAGATAGATAATAAAATCTTATTATAAATTTTTTTAAATAAGTAAAATCGAATAAAAATAGCAGATAAATGCGTGCGTAATTTTTCTGATAATTTCATCAACGGTAAATAACGTGATAGTTACCTTAATACTTTCAGCATTGATCGTTACAGCATTGATTTTCGAAGATTCGTGAACTTCGAACAAAAAATTTATCATATTAATTGCGCAATTATTTGGACATTAAATTTTCCCCCGTAGATTGCCAGTTTCCCGTAAAATTTCCCGTAGATTTGCGACTGCTAAATTATATTGACTGAATTAGAATTTAAATGCGTATCTTCACTTCGTAAATATTCTAATTATAAAATAATGTGAAATCACGCAAAAAAACTAATCAGATTATGGAAATGCTAAACCAAAAAAAGAAATGGCTCTACTAAGTAGAGAACTTATTTCCCATGCGTTATTTCCAACCTAAAATTTACCATTCTTTTACAGCCATATTTAATGGTGTATGATGAAATCCGTGAGCTAGCCTACTCCATAAAAATGACGTGCACATTATACTTCTAAAATTACATTTTATCTTTTAAATGCAAACAAAAATAAAGTTGACAATATTGCACAAAGTGGCGTGTTATTAACCTGCTGATAGGACGAGGGGTTTCACAGCCGAAACAGGTTTCCAGGAAGCTGTTTCCCGTTGCAGAGGAAATTGCTGTGCGGGCTGCGCAATTTTTGTGTGATTTTCAGGTTTGACAGGTTTTGCAGGCTGCAAAACTGACTTGCGTACATCAGATTGCTGCAAAGCGGGAGCCCGTTGTGCAGGTTTCAGTACAGGTAGAGCAATAACTCCAGGAAGATCGCTGTGGTTTGCCTCATCATTCTGTTTTTGATTGCCTTTCTTGTTCGTTTTCGACAGAGGCTCGTTTTCTGTGATGATTTTCGCCTTAGTCGAATCTTCTGCTATGGCGGGTATATTTCTGAGCCTGGAAACTAACTGTAAAGAAAAAATTCCGAGATTATAACTAATCATTCATTCGCTATGAGAATAAGGTTTCAGTCGCAATATGCAGTATATGTTGCAGTTTTTCCAATTATCCCATTTTTGATCATCATTTACTCGTAAGGTATTAAATATTTTTGAATAAGTCAGATCATAAACTTTATGTGAAACAACCCATCAACTCTTGATAGATTGCGCATGTCTGATAGCGATTTGGTTCAAAAAAGTGTGGATACAATAATATGTAGATCGATTACATATTATTGGGTAGATCCACTAGAAATTATTGTGTAGATCTATTACACATTATTGTGTAGATCCATTAAACATTATTGTACTGATCCATTAAACATTATTGTGTGGATCCATTACACACTATTGTGTAGATCCATTACACATTATTGTGTAGATCTGTTACACATTTTGTGTGGATCTATTACACATTATTGTGTAGATCTATTACAAATTATTGGCACATCTTTTAATTCATTCAATGTTCAGTGCTTTCGCCAATCATTTAATTTAAGATTTTCAGTTTGATCACATCCATTAATGTTACATTAGTTTAATCACATTCATTAATGTCACATTCATTAATTAATGTCACATATCATACCTTTCCAACTTGACTCTGGCCCTTTTCCGGTTTAACGGCATCTGAAAAAGATATAGCGAATGCAGTTTTTTTTTCGATGTCAATGTACCGTAATTCAGCAAAATTTGTTCTGTTTTAGGATACAGTGCAGTTAAATTAAGCCTCGTGTAGAGTTTTTATATACAAATATTTTTTCATACTACGAGTTTGTGAACCAAAGCTATTGAAAAAGTTTATATTGATTGTCAATAAACTGGAAATTACTGACAATGATCCAGCGGTAATAACAAACGTTTTTATATCGAAAATTCAAGCTATTCGCGGCAATCGTATCCTATCAATGGAAAAAAATTAGAGTGTAATTAAATTTATCTGGATGCAAATAAAATATTAAATTAATAGCATATTATATACCTAAATATATAAATATAAATACTGCTTAGTGAAGATCGGGTCCCAAGTAGGGACGATAGATTTCAGTTTATTCCTCCTTATTATACCGGGGAATATAAAAAAATCCCAAATTCTTATTTTCGGCAATAATTTCTATAACTGATCTCACCGGGACGAGTAGGAGGCGCTTGTTCTGCCGGTTTCGAGGGAGCAAGAATCCCATGTTGCTTTGGATGATTAGACTGCAGTCGCCTGTGCCTATATTGCGATAAGATTTTAAATTTTTATCATTATAATAATTCTGTAACTAGAATATATATATATTCTGTAACTATAATAATTATTGCTTGGAGTGATTAGAACGCAGTCGTCTGTGTCTGTATTGCGATAATATTTTAAATTTTTATCATTATAATAATTCTTTAACTAGAATATATATATATATATTCTGTAACTATAATAATTATTGCTTGGAGTGATTAGAACGCAGTCGTCTGTGTCTGTATTGCGATAAGATTTTAAGTTACTATCATTATAATAATTCTGTAACTAGAAATTATGTGCGAAAATATTGAAATTATTTTATGGACAACGAATGAGAGTGCCAGATGAAACAAATCATGATCATCACAAACGTCCTCGGGGTAGAGGAATTGATTGAAATTTCTGGTTATTTTCTTAGCAAAAGAAAGCTTTACTGTTTCATACTTCCTTTAGCTGTTAAAGGTATACATTTTTATTCAGTTCGATACGTAGATGACATCATATGAATGCTCAAATGAGGTACGGTCGTAATGTGCAGAGCAGAAACGTATTCAAGCGTTTGCAGTATTTACGAGGTTAAGCACACTTCATTACTTACCTGGCTTAAACGTGGAGCACCTTACCAATGCTAACGGTTTTCAAGGAGGTCAGAAAACAGAATAATCTCAAAATTTGTAGAACGACTTATTTCAAAGTTCTATCTCGGAGATTAACAAGAAAAATACCCAGCTTTTCGTACAATTTCCAATTTATATTAAGTGAAAACATTGTATATATTACAAAACATTGTCACCGCTCATTATTTTTAGCAGCAAATATTATTTTACTTACACCAAAAGAAGGACCACCAGCGCAAGGATCACCAACACGCCTATGGCGATGCCAACGGTAGCGCCTGCTGCCATTCCGCTGCTGCCAGCGATGATTGGACGGTCTAAATTTTCTAAGACGAATTCTTCTTCGTCTGTGACAATATAGGAATAAACAATTAGATTGTGCACTCGTTAAGCGCGTGAATTGTCAGAAAAAATATCTCAGTGAAATAAGGATATTACAGCTCTAAAAAATGAGTGAATCAGAACGCTTTCAGAAATAAGCAGTGTCATCAAATGACACAATATTTTCCGAATTTTGATGCTTCGTCTTAACATTTCAAACCACGCTATCTCAATCGTTGAGTTATACTTCATTTGCTGCACAGATGAACATATTAACACCGCATATATATGCTCAAGTTTTAGACGGGCTGACATCATGACGGCGACGTCACAATATTTCCAGCGCATATAAATGCTCACGTTTTAGACGGGCTGACATCATGACGGTTCACCACCGGAGCCTCGAACTCGGTTGCTTCTGAGGCGTTGGTTCGCAGTGAACAGCCGACGTGGTTGCAGCACCACGACGAGAAGTCGTACACAGAACTAGGAAGAAGATCGTCCATCTGCGCGATGGAAGAAGAAATCTGAGTTTCACTCAAACCGCGCAAGGGATGATATTTGATCAATGTCCCACGACCGAAACGTCAGCCTATTTCATCAGATAAATTAAACGAGATTCTTTACAGAATAAAAAAACGACGAAGGCACACTGACATTGGGGAATAAAGAATTATTCTGAGTTCCATTCTTAAATTGTGAACACACAATCTGCGAATTTTTTAGTTCAAAAACATATTTTTGTACTACAAATGGTAAGTTTGATCATATCAATTTTTATCTCGAAATGAATGCTCACCGATGTGTTGATCTGCTGCCCGTTGCCGATGATGTCGTAAGTATTGTTAGATATGAGGTTGCCGCCGTGAAAAGTTTCGATAAAACATTGTTTTGTATTCGCCCCAGACGACGTAAACGAAATGTTCAAGCCCTTCGGCCTTCTCGTTTGCGTCATCGTTGGTGGTTCAGGAGCTGCAATTAGCGAAGGTAATTAATTGCAAAGGATAGTGTAAACTGGCATAAACTTTTTGAAATGCCGAGACTTTTGTTATCCATTTGTGCTAACTTTGGCATTTAAATTTTTATAAATTATTATGAATAAAACTATTTTGTTTGTGTTTATAAACCTATTTTATTAATTAAAGAAAAAGTCAAAGGCAAAGCTTATCCTTGAAGAACTATTAATAATCGTCATAATTTATTTCAAATCACGGAATTTATGTAATTGGAGGCTCAATTTAGACTCAATTTGAGTACTTCGAATACGTAAGTCAATAATCGCGCGTCTACTTCACTGATGACCAGAAAGTTTTCCAGGGGATACTCATCCTAATTTCGCCTTCATCACCACAATATAGTTGTATTCGTGTAAATCAGATAATGCATGGCTAGTCAATTGATAGAATTACGCATTCAATGAGTTCTTCATAGATTATCGATGTATATTTAAATAGATTAAAAATAAGTTAAAAACCATAATAAGAAAGCGGAAAACCGCCCTATAATTATTGTTCATTTAAATGTAGAAGAAATTCAGTTATTTCAACTGAATCTAATATTTTTTTAAAGTTTGCTCATGACTTGAATCAGTATGTCTTAGACAAAAAGTTTAATAATAAGATAGTTAAAAAGCTATAGACAGAAACAGATTTCAGTGATTCGTCACTAAGCTTATATAGTGAGATGAAAACAATGTCCAAATCTAAAATGAGTCATCGAACATGATTATAATCACTCACATTTAAATCTCAATCAACAAAAATAAAAAATAAATATGGGTTATCAGTTAACATGAATAATTGTAATTGATCTTCTGATTGCATAAAATCTAATTCAGAAATCAGCATCATAACTAACTATAAATGCTAGTAACCGCAAATGTGACAATTTTGATGCATTCTGCTTAAAAATTCGGCTATATCATTGAACCGGGTTGTTGGTAATTACAATTTATTCAATCATTCACAACGATTTTATTATGAATAATCGGTTGAATTGACGCTCTAATATAGTATCAATCATTTTAATCAATATCAATTCATAAATTGAATTTCAAATCCAGTTCAATCAACCACCAAATTTAATTGGGTTAAATTAATTATTGCCCGATAAGTTATTATGCTAATGTAACTAATTGCAACATTATGTGTAATTATATGTATTGAAGAAAATCTTCGATAAAGTCTAGCATTTAAAAAGTTCGTGCATGGGTAGGATGCCCGAGATCCTGTGCCCACAGCGCCTGACCTGTTTCTTGTGTCTTGACGCTTATCGGCTCCGCTGCAGAACAAGCTGCATAATATGAGCTGTCTGAGCAGCTCTTTACCTGCAGGAACACATAGTCTGCATAGTTTTATCAACAACATAATTTTTAATTATGCAATAATGCTGCGCGAATGAAGTTCAGGTAAGCAATTTGAAGGTCAAGGCTTCATGCAAGCTCCATTGACAAACAATTGAGGTAAATTGAGGCTTTAACATAATTGGGGAATTAATTTTATTTCGAAGTGTTTCCTTTTATATGAAACTCGCGGGACTTTTCCAGAGTAACCGATACAGTACCCCGCCTGGACCAAGTTGTAGCTACTACCTAGCCTCATTTTCCTGGAACTTTCATTGCTAATCTCCATTACTGTAAATTTTATTGAAATCGTTATAACCAATATTTTATCTTACTGTACCCTACGATATCTTACCTCAAATTTGTACGTCTGATCAGGATTCAATGCTGTGAAGGTGAGGCAGAAGTAAGCTGCGTTACCGGGACACTCCGACTCAGAGTAGAACTGATAGTTACGCCCGACAGTGACGCGGTAACCGAGGATGGGGGCCTTGGGGGGACAAGGTCTTCTCCAGCGCAGGCTGACGGAAGTGGGCGTTGCAGTTGAGGTCAACTCTTCCACCGGCCCGGGAACTGATGGTGAGGACACAGGAAACATTTGTTGTTTCGTTTACAAATGCCAAATAATATCATTTAACCTCATAGAGGGCCGACTTCAAGTAACAATAAATACATGAAGTGTGGTCGTTTGAGGAATTCTTTGACAGAAGCATTAAAAAGTTTCTAATAATAGCTAGAATTGATCTACAAATCACGTAGTATTCGCAAACATGATATAGAACTCTGAACACGATCACGCCTTATCTAGCCCGTGGCTCGTCACATATTCCGTGAATTCGCTGTAATATCGGTTATACGAGTGTATGAGAACTGGTTAAATGAAGTAAAAGTTAAAATATTAAAAAATATGTAAAGTAAGAGTAAGTTAAAATATATAAGAAAGGAAAGGAGAGATGCAAGGAAATAAATAAGTTCCTCCCTAGCAGACAAATCAATTAATTTTGATCATTCAACCGATGTGTGGCACACGCACCTTTTTCATTCGGGCTGGCGTATGTGGCGTGCACTGGCTGACCCTCCCCATAGTCGTTCTTGACAAACACGCTCAAGTTATAAGTTATACCGGGCAGAAGATTTAGGTTTCTGGAGTTGAAAGTACCAAAGTAAGATAATTTATTTTCAAAACGCAGCGAATGTCGGGCAGAAGCGTTGCAGGCCGGGGCTCCAGAAAACGTCCACACGAGTGTCAGGTTGGGTCCGTTGTATTGTGAACAGCCGTCACCGACGTGAACGGAACATCCGTCAGACAGGCATTTCAGTTGAGTAACTGGCAAGGTCGGAGCTGTAAAAATAAATCACATAACCATAAAAACACAGAATTATTGACCTTATTTGGCTTACAGTTATGTAAATTGTGATTTTGTTACAAGCTCTGGAAATCTTTCAGGCATTTTTTGTATTTTTTATAGTAAAAATTAAATATTAAGCACATTGAAAAATTGATAATTGAAAGCAAATGAGAGAATGGAAATATTTTTTAATAAGGACCACAGGCGAGTAATAAGCAACCCCATCAGGCACTCCTTCACTAATTGAAGCGGCGCTGCAAAATTAATAATCCAATTATAGAAGCAAGATAGAAGGCCCCATATTTGTCTGCTTCTTTTCATTTTCTGCAAAAGATAATGCCTAATAGCATGGAATTATTTTCTTCGAGTGATTATACGTGTCCAACACACTGCTTATTTATACGTGGATATTCCGTGAATGGGAAGGCGGCACCCCTCACCGCTGTTAGGCAGGGTGAGCATCGCCCCGCACGTCTCACTGCTCCCGCCTCTGTTGAAGGCGAGCACGCAAACCTCGTACTCCGTGTACGCCTCCAGCTGCGTCAGCAGCACGCGGGGCTCGTACAGACTTAGAGACTGTCGAACATTTTCGTGTTCTTTGTCGCTGCAGCCTACTCTCCTTGTCCTCTGCACAAAACATACATACATAGGCAGTCTTTGGAAATCGAGAATGACGGCTGTCGTTATGCAATGTAATTTATTTGTGCATCCGCATGTGGCTCGAAGTCCAAAAGTACGAGGCTTATATTAGTAGAGGCTTATACAGGGTGTTTCAGAATTAAGTAACCCTTTTAATTTGTTAATAAATAAAAAACTAAGAACGTTATGAAGTTGAAACTTGTTTTATTTAAAAGAAGAACATTTTTATGGTAATATTGTATCCTAGTTTTTAAATATAATATCTTTTAAATGCCCACCACAATTGTTTTGACAAAATAGTCTATTATAAGAGCCAAGACAGTGTTGCCCAGACATAAAAATAGTAGAAGCCCAGGCTTAATAGCCTGAACATAATCTATGCTACGGCGCAATAAAAAGAAAAGCGAGGACAAACAGCAATAATTTGGGTACATGGTCTAGGTTGCCAGAAATGCTAGTGCTTAGGTCAGTAAAATAGTGAAACTGTTCTCTTATAGTGATCAATTTATGAAACGTCATTGTTGATAAACAAACAAATTTATTCTAATCGAAATATCTTTAAATACCAGCTGAAACTAAGATATATTAACTTAGATTTTGATAGTCAGAAGTAATCTATTAATCAAGCTTGACTAGACGAGATACCATCGAACTTCAAAGACGTTGGTTCTGTCTCTTAGTGAGATCACGATAGCGCCCCCTGACGTGTTTCCTGGGAAGTCTTTGTAAGGTTTGGGTAAGGCTGCCGAGGAGGCTCTATTGGCAGCCACTCAGAGTAGGAAGTTAGTGCTATTGCTCCACCTAAGTAGGAAGTTAGTGCTATTGCTCCACCTTATTGCCCCTTAAGCAGGAAGTTAGTGCTATTGCTTCACCTAAGTAGGAAGTTAGTGCTATTGCTCCACCTAAGTAGGAAGTTAGTGCTATTGCTTCACCTAAGCTACGGCGTAGCCATTGAGCCACATTGCTCCGGTTCATGCCGTCGTGTCGTTATAGTAATTTCAAACCCCGGGATCTGATCTTTACTGAATAAAATATTGTCAATGATTATCATAGTGTATCCCGGTGAGCTCATTTCCCTTGGCACTTTAATAGGACCGTAGGATAGAGTTCTGACCATACGAGTGATGCTTTTGTGTGGTTAATAAAAGTGCGGATAAAGTGGGAATAATTGCATGTGAATGGATGGAAATGCAGCACACGACACGACGATTCTCCGTAAATTCAATAGCCTTGTTATAGTTGATTGGTTATAATATTGAGGATTTGAATCATGAACCAATCCCAGTGCCATGTTTCTCACCGCGAGGCAGAGTCGTGACGCTCAGTGAGGCGGAGTTCACAGAGAAGACGTAGGTGGTGTTGGGCGTGAGGTCGTCAGCCCAAAGCTGGTGTCCATGCCTGCCCTGCTGCCTGACAGTCGCCTGTGTTGAGGCTTCTTTGACGGAGAAATTAATCGAAAGTTCATCGCATGCGGCCGAATTTACCTGGAACAAATAAATATTAGTGGAGGTCATTGCTGAGTAACGAAGCAAAATAGCAGAGTAACTATAAATAAATACAGCATCATATCCAGGTCGTTTGTGCTTAAAACTTGACAAAATAATATATAGTGAACTATTTCATAAACTTCTGCATCAGTCGTGTAACACACTCATTGAGGACTATCGAAACGAATGGAGAGTACTCACCCCACCAACAACGATGCGGTTCATTGTTACCTCCTCCTCGAAAAGGTTAAGTTTTCCGTAGGTTGCTGCTCAGGAAGACAAAACTGTTTAGAGTTATTCTTCTCCCAGTGCCCATGATATTCGACAAGATCACGAATCGTAATGTAAAAAGTTCTGATACTACAATTGACTTGCTCTATTAGAATAAGTTAAAGGCAAATGCACATTATATTTTGGCTCAAACATCGAACACACTTAACTCTGAAGTTCTAGCAAAGTGCCGACTAGAAAATATACAATTCAAGTCCCCTTCCGCCCAAAAAAGACCCAGCTATCCTTAAGATTCGACTCAGTTTACCTGAGGTTGTTGAAGTGAATATATAAGTTCTAGGTACATCGAATCATAAGCACATCAGATTGTAATGTTGTTATCTTCAGTCTAGCGCATGACCTCAACCAATGAGTTTACTAATTGCTCAACAGGTTTTAATGTTCGGTTATATGATAATGAGTTCATCGGTGCAGTTCAAATTTGCTGCCCGGCAAGTAAGTTTCCCCCAACTACACTCAAAACTCTAAAGTTAGTTAGTATGACAAGCCAGGAAATATCTATGGTATCTCAGCTTTTAGGCTTTCTTCTACATGTAGGCCCTTCACCGCAAACAGATGAACCAAACCCAGAAATTAATTGTGGTTGAAGTTGTAATTGTTGCACCTGTCTCTTATACACATCTAGATGTGTATAAGAGACAGGGCAGGCAATCTGCACCTCAGCTCCCTCAATGGCATCCACGTACTCACCTTCAGTAAGGCAGGCAATCTGCACCTCAGTTTGCCGGATGTCGAGGTTGTAGTCGGTGTCTGCCGAGCCTCTCGAGGTGTCGACCAAAACCCTCACGGCGTACCACCAGCCGGGGACGAAGTTGAACTTAAACTCTACGGGATTTACACACAATATTAGTCATGTGATGGAAGTTTTACTGCAATCACTAGCACTCAAACATTATCAGTTGGGATATTAATGTCGAACTGCCGGAAGTAACAAATATTCTCTACGTTGATGCCATATGAATTGCTAGCTAGACACCAGTATCCATACTTTCATAAAATTCAAAAATTATGCTCATGAAAGTATTACTAATTGAGATTGAAGACGCCGTAGCTGCTTGACAATAAAAGAGAAATCCTGTTAGGTTCTAATTTTGCATCAAATTCGCGTCTAACATGATTATTGTTTCGTGTTTTTATGTTCGTAAAATTTTTTCACTATACCGATATGAAATGCGTTGTGCAACGTGCGGTCTAGATATCCACTTCAAATTGTAAACAGATCCTGAAAACTTCTTTTAGGTGGATTTGGTCTTCTCGAAGCAAAGACAATCGTTCCATCTAGTTACATTGATATTTCTCAGGCATAAGTTATGTAAGTCATAGTGATACTTCTTGGGAAAATTTCCTAACCTGGCTACTTGAAACTTCCTATGAAGAAGCAGAGCTTGCTCTATCTGTATAAGACTGAGTCGCTGCGCTCGAAGTGGCTATCTTAAAGTTTACTTCTATCGTAAAGTCTTTTTCGCGGTCCTATCTGTTCCCATTGTTCTTAGTTCAGCGCCATATTTTTCTTATCTTCTACTACTGGTCTAATTTTGTGGTGCACGACCCTTGTTAAGTAATTTGTTTACTATTGGGCGCAAGCTTTTGTCTCCTAACAAACACTTTGGCAGGCCCGTCAAGCTTAGCAACAGTTACCTTTTGAAGAATTATCAGCTAAAATTAAATCTTTACTTGACCAATACCTTGAATTCCTATGGAACTTTCTTTGGCGGGTTCCGTTTAAATCTCTAACTTGACTTTAAGCTTTACTTTACCTGAAATGCCAAGGTGTTCAATCTTTCTTTAACTTGTGGAACAGTGGCGACCATAAAAATTGTTAACTGTTGCGGTGTGCGACCCCATAAATGCGGCCGCCGTTTAAACTTCCGAATGAAAACAGCGTACTACCATTAAACTTCATTTCTAAAAGCACTCTACACGTGCACTTTATTTTATTTGGTAATGTAAGCTATACATTGAAATAAAAATGCTTTATTGAATCTCATAATCATGCAGAGCGACATTCAAAAGTCAGTCTGGTTTAACCTTATGCGTTTCTTTGCCCAGTTTAACATCCTCAAAATTTCAAGTGTCGGCCCAATAAGCTGACCTTGACTCTGCTTGTTCGCTTGGATTGCGTACTGGAAAAAGACTACCTGTACTACAAAATGATACTACAATAAATCTGTTTCAACTCAATTATTTGTCGTTATCTAGCTCAATCCTTCAAAGATCTTTGCGATAGCATTCTAGAAGAGAACAATTTTGGAATTGAGTGGAAATTCGAAATTTAACAAATAAATTTTATTTTAATTAATTTAAATGAAAAAAACATTCCAAATTGCAATCTTTCAATTAAATTACAGTTTACAATGCCATATGGTGGATTTTTTACCATTCTAATGGATGAGATTAGAATGAATTTCTTGACAATTGCTTCACTAAGGGCAAGATAAAATTTGGACAACGTTAGTAATATTAACAATGGGTGCTTCAAAAAATAATACATTTCTACAAACTTTGAATAAATTGAATCATTAATAAAACTAGACTAAAATTGATATCGTGAGTCGTGTGCCTTAAGTAATATTTATTATTTCCACATTTGGTGAATAAATCTCGGATCTAGGGGCAGAATACGTTAAATGAAAACACTCTGGACTGCAGTCCAAGCACATTTTCTTTTTTTAACGTCCAGTACGCTGCTTTGTTTTTTGGTTATTATTTCGTTTTTTTATTATTAAAATATTATTATTATTAGAACATTGTTTTTAGGAAAATTTTCTTATAACCTACTGTAGGCTGCTTTGTTTTTTGAATACTTTTTGGAAATAAAATCCTGTGCAGATCCTACCTGTAGAGTGAGTAGACATTTCAGGAGTTTTCCACTCGGCATCTGAACTGCTTAAACTCTTGACCTGCAGGCGATACCTGATGATAGAAGAATTGCAATTTTGAATTGGTGAATTTACAATTTTCTACCTACAATTTTTTCATTGTGATTCACTGACGGCAATTGAAAGTCAATGATGCTTTACTGCTAAAACAATATTTTCTGTCTTTGTTGATCAGTGACTTCAGTGTTGAGCTGCAATCAGCATGTGCCAGTCAAAGCTGGTATTGATGACTTAATGGATAATATGAATTTATTTTTATTTGACAGGTATGAGGAATTAACAAGCGTTATTTTTTTTGTTTAGGGAAAAACGATTTTCGGGTATTTGGAAGTAATTTTACTTAAATTTTACAAATTACGATTCACTCATCCACATGTAAAGTCCTAGTAACATCCTACATTGTCTACAGGTTATTTTTGTAACATTTGTATTAGTGGGTTTAAATGACAGTCATTTTAGAAACACACTTTCGTCCACACATCAGCCTCACCCCGTAACATAGTTGCCAGGCTCCAGCGTCCCTTCGTCGTCGCGGGGCGACCAGGCCCGCAGCGCCACGGCGCAGGCGGTGTTGCTGCAGCTGAGCTCGGCTGGGGCCCTGAACCGCGGCAAGTTCAGAGGGCGGCTACCTAGCGGCGCAAAGCATGTGGAACATTTTTTATTAAACGTTCAAAAAAGCAAGACATTCAAAATACTTAACCAGTTTTAGATGATGACTTATATGTCAGTGCCGAGTAATTACAATATATGTTATAAATGATATAATTTTATGACTTAGCATTCATGCATGTTAAATCGAAAATAATTTCCATAATTAGCATTGCAAAAGTGTTATCTAAACAAGTCGCTCTAATTATATTGTCACAAGAATGTTTATGTAAAGATTCGTATTTTTTACATTTTTTATCTATCTCACTCTATGTTCTGACTGGTCATTAGTAGAGTATAAAAATGTTATATATAACTCTATATAATTACTATAAGATAGCAGAATAAGCTTATTTAAACACGAGTGGTTAATGATCAGAGAAATCATTGATTTAAATTTTCAGGATCGAACAATATTCTTCAGTGGACGTTGGTTGATAAAAATTCAGGTTCAAGGAAGTAATTTAATTTTTGGAGTGGTGCTCTCCGCCCCGGTGTGGTCTCCACTTTGGTGGCCCCGTTCTGCAACCCTTCAGCCATTGAGAAATCTCGAGTTTTTTTTTCAAGTCACCCAATATTGTACCTTAAAACAAAATTCAGTCAAATTCCTTGAACTGTTCTGACGTGGGGCCGCATTGAACAAGTCTTCAGAGGCTCCCATAAATTCCAACTAAAGAAAAAGAATATTTCGGGTCACTGCACGATGAAGATGCTGGTGTGTTTCTCCAGCACAATGAGAGTTGTTGTCAAGGGTGTCAGGAAGCCTGTTGAATTCATCACGGATCATGAGATGAAGTTGCTCGATGGTAAGACTTTGAGACCTGGTCTGGTTGCGAAATTGTCTCAGGTGGCAGGAAAAACAGCTGCTCAATGTCGATGAAGTTACTCCAATTACTCTAGTGTAGTCCAAAAGATGAAGAAGTCTACAACCTTCTTTGAAGCAAAATTTATAGATCTCTAACTCTATATAAATATATAATGCGATAGGTTTCGTAGAGCGTATTAGATTTGCGGGCTACAGGGGGCATGTCCAAACTGAGATGTGATGCTCACGGTAAAATTGCAGCAGGCATTTTAATTATTAATTTATTTTCCTTTAAATGAGCTTGTAAGGAACCTTTCGCAATTATTCATTACCAACGCTAACAAGGGAGACATCAGTTGCTGGAAAATTTGCAACTGATATTATTGAAAATTTTCTGCAGACGATATCATTATCTCCTGCATGTATGCATAAAATTTCACTTCAATGTGTAAAATAAGGTACTGGTGGAACTTGAGAAGCGACATGTGACCTAGGAGGATATGGATCAAGCATCGACATGTAAATAAGGGGCATGCGAATCATCAGGCATCGAGAGTAGTGACTGTCATCGCTTTTTCGTCTTTAAACTTTAACCTAGGTTAGAATAGAATAAACATTTTTTCAGAATTTTTCAACCTAGGTTAGAATAGAATAAACTTTAACCTAGGTTAACCTTTGTAGGTTAGAATATTCACTGTACAATCGTTCGCCTAGATATTCTGTAGTAAAAGGTTTAGCGCCGGATGAAGTGAACTACAATGTTTTACTATCTACAGTTTCAGATATCTGGTGTCCTTGCTCCTACAATTTGTTGCGTTAGACTATCTGATAGTTTGAAGATGGGACCTGATAGCTTTGTACTGATTCTCGATCTATTGATGCATTCCCTCCCAATCGCTCCAACTGTCTAGGATTTGTGCATCGTTTACAAACAATTACCAATAATATTATCTTTGCTTCGTAGATAGCCGTTTTTATTACTAGTTCCTACCCTGATACGTAGAGAAAAAGTTTATAAACTCACCTCTAGATGACATCCTTGCACAATATGTTTGAATAAAATTTGGTATTGTCACCAGTAAAACTGATGACAAAACCGAGGATCAGAATTGTCTTTCGCACTTTGATTTAATATTAGCAAAAGGGAATGAAAATTATTTGGAATGACTAGTCGTTGGAACGGATGAGTTTTTTTGACATGGCCGTAACGAATCAAAAGAAAACACCCAAACCAACTCCATTATATCTAACCACGAGGATAAATTACTATTTACCAACAAATAAATTACTTGAACTTGTACTATAGACACGAACTTGCATCGCAGAGCGCAGGGACCAGGCAGCCGTGCGTGCATCTGCCGTCGCCGGCATCGCAGACGCCGTCCTTGCAGTAGCGGCAGGACAGCGCGCAGTCGGGGCCGTAGCGCCCAGGGGGACACTCTGTGTTGGGGTTCATACATCATCCTACTACTGTAGGATCTTGAATTAAAAATAGTTACATCTCTCCCAAGAAGGTGAAGTGAAAATAAATGTGCCATAACATATAAAAAATGGAGGCGGAATTGAATTAAAAATTCGGTGCTCATTTCGAAAGGAAAAAACGAAATTGTAGCTTATTTGCATTCCGTTAAAGTCCTGCATTAATGACACGCTGTATGTTTTGTAACAATGACAAGCTGAATGCGACTTCGCCTGGCGTAAGTGGTTTATATTGGTTGCTAAAAGGCAAGCAATTTACAATTCGTTGATTTTTAAAAAATTCGGAGTGATTTTTCTGTGGATGAGGCATCATCGTATTTTGTCCGCGAACATAACGTAATACGTCTTGTGAATTTGTACTCGCTGGGCTTCATATTATGCACGATTTAATGATGAAGTTAAAGGATTTTGAATATGTCAATAGGCTGTTAAAATTCATACTAATATCCGGTGTCAATCAAGCGTCTCAATTTTAATGAATAAAATGAGACGTAATATTGACATCGGACACTAAAGTACGCTAAGTGACCAAATTTGAGCTACCGATTCCCGAGATCTAAATGTGTTGGAGGTAAACTGAATACAAATAATCGGGGTGAATAAATTCAAAAAATATAAGCAAACTTGTTTCTGAACCAGAACTATTGTTTTCAGACGTAATCTGATTAACCGCAAAAAATTTTACGCACTTATTATGATTTCTTATGAATTATACTCGAGTGTCAAATATTTGCGGAGAAACTTTGAGCTTTTATTGGTTCCCCTTTAGCTTTGGCTCCAGATTATTTAGACGGTGTAGTCGCTAAACCGCCAGTTCGGTAACAAATATTACTTCAGCATCACATGTCATGCGTTTGAAGGAGAATACTTCAGATTCAGTTATTCAAGTGAATGTTCTTCTGCTCAATGATGCAAATGAGCATCAAATATTTATCCCAAGTCCAAATTTCTTTAAAAGACAGAATGCAAATCAAAATTAAATGCGTCTGCTCTCTCCGTATCACCCTGACCAGAGTCGCAGTTGGGCGCCAGGTATCCAGGCAAGCAGGAGCAGCCCTTCGGGTCGTGGATGCAGAAGGTGAGCCCAGCGCAAGACGGCGTGGATGACCAGCGCAGGTGCTGTGCAGAGCAGTCCCTCCTGCAACCTTCACCATATCGGTCTCTAGGGCAGTCTGGAAATTCAGAAAGACTGGATTTATTTGATCTGGTGACTTGCATCCGATGACCTGATGATTTTTGTACTTGGTACAGAACATTTTTGGGAATCTTTCTAATTGGAATAAGTAAGTTAATTCTATTTGATATAAAATAGTTCAAATCCGAGAAAAATTCCTATCCGAAATTCGTGCATCTTTTAACCAGGAAACATCAATTTCTTGTACCGTTATCTTAGGTAAATGGCCGTCCATATCTCGGATATTGCATTTGGTGGCATTAATAACAAATTAACAACATTGGTTCAAGATGACACCGTAATAAAATAATATACAATAATTTGCCTGATGGCAACACTCACAGTATTGGCAGCGGTCCCCATATGTGCCGGGAGCGCACACGCATTCCCCAGAGCGGGGATGACATTCCCCAGAGTTGAGGCAGTCCGGGCACCACTGGGCACAGTCCATGCCAAAGCGATGCTTCGGGCAACCTCATAATAAAGATGAATTATGTTGTTATTTCTATTAACTTTGTTCAAAAAATGTAAATTATGTATATATGAAACTTGCAACCTCTCATCACCCCACCATGTAAATTATTGAAAATACTAACGGGTTAACGAGAGAGCACGTCACCAACAGTATTAACATGTAAGCACGTCTCACCCACATCGTGTTCCTACGAAGACATGGGAGCGCATCTCAAACGTTACATCACATAATAAAGATTGACGACGGAGGTTCAAGTTCAGTACAATCTTGTGCTGAAATCGTGTCAAGCTGAGCATCAACGTAATGACTGGAGCTCGATTCGCCGCTCAGTATCAGTAGCCTGTCAATTTTACACCAGTTGCTAAAAAACGTGCATTTCAGGGACCGCGTATTTGGCTATTAGTATAGTCTGTGCTAGAGAGCGAAAAATATTTGATTGAATGCCTTTGTCATTTTTTTATGTCAGCAACATAATAACTAGAGTAGTAGCAAATTAATTATACTATCATTAACGTTGCCCCAAGTTTTGTTGAAGCCGTTTTTAGCGCATTTTCTCATTTATGGAAAAAATGCACTATTGTGCTCGCCATCTCCGTCCGTCTATCCGTCTTTCCGTCTGTCTGTCCGTTCGTGACTTCACGTTTTCGTCGACGAGAAAATGCACTCTCTGTCACTCATTGCAGTGAGTACTAAGTTATATTTTTTTATAAATTGACATTCAGACTTTTCTCAGATAAATTATCCTTGAGTCCTCATAACCGCAAATGTGAGATGAGAAAATGTGTCGAACTTTGATATTACTTTTTTTTAAGTAGCGCGCTCATTTCGTATACGGTTGTGAAATAACAGTTAAAATATTCCACCTCTTAATTATTTTTGTTAAATCTCGATACCATCAGGATTAACCGGCTAAGCGTCGAGATAATTGGTGACAGTGAAGGCTGGTAGCTGGGAATTAACAGAGGTGGGCAGTAGCGCGCTACATGTAGCGGCCGCTACATTTTCAGTAGCGGTAGCGGTAGCGGCTCTACATTTAAAGCAATGTAGCGGTAGCGGTAGCGCCCGCTACATATTTAAGTAGCGATACGAGGTTTTGCCGCTACTGCGCTATCGATACATTTATAGATAAAGCCTATAGAATTTACTTAGGGGACCGGCTACCCTCCAACAAAACTTTTTTGTTTACAGACGGATCGTTTTGAAACTTGGTACACATATGTAAAACAGAAATCTAAGACCTTTTTGTTCATGTAAATTTAAAAAAAAATGAAAGAAAACGTGAAATTAATAGAAAACGGCAAATAAGGGGTACTCTAAAAAAGTTCATAACTTTTGCAAATCACATGCTACAATGTCGAGACACATATCATTCGATTTGTAACAACAATATCTAGCGACTGTAGAGCCCCGATTTTTGATTTTTTTCATCATTTTTTTATCGCGTTCTTCCCGTTTTTTCACATTTTACCCGTCACCTTCCTCCTCTTCCCATATATAATTGAAACCATGCAAATATTAAAAAAAAGGCTTCTAGAGTCGCTAGGTATTGTTTTTACAAATCGAATGGTATGTCTCTCATTGCCGTAGCTTGAACACTGTTGGAGTTATAGTTTTTTTAAGAAGGCGTTTTTTGGATTTTTAAATTGTTCAGGGGAGCCAAATAAAGTAAAATTCATTGAAAACAGAAGAATATGCCCAAAAAGTCTTGATATTGTAGTGAGTAATGATCTATATATACAGATTTAATTCAAATAAAACTTTGTACATATTGTTAAAAAATGTTCATATATATATTTTTAAAATAGTCTTACGCAAAAATTATAGCACGCACAGACATGCGGTAAACTGCGTTAGATGCGCCTTTTCAGCAGCTACAAAATGAGTCGAGAAAACGGTAAAGCCAAAATTTCCGATTTTTAGGGTAGCCGGTCCCCTTAATGGTATTAAAGATTATTTAAAAACCAGCATGATACATACATTATATAAATTACAGAATAAAACTGTACAAAAGATTTCGGTGTAATGTTGTCAACCTCAGCCTGTTACTAGTGTCAACATGTTAGTTGTTACTTGTTAAGTTGTTACCAGTTAACACTTACAGGTTTTTTTCATCTTTCAGTTTGCTTACAGTTATTTTTACACAGTTATTTTTATGTTTCACCTTCCCTACATGGATGTCTACTTTAATCTACCAATCTCAAAAATAATCCACATATATATACAGAAAAAGACTGATTTTTTATGTATATGTGGATAATTTTTTAGATTGGTAGATTAAAGTTCACATCCATGTAGGGAAGGTAGAACATAAAAATAACTGTAACTTTTTTTTACTGTATCTAACCCTGGGGTAACCCATACTAGTTCGGTTAGGTTAATTGCAATAAAGTAGCATTGATATGTTTTAAAAATGTTTTATTATCATTAAATATTAATGAGTAAATCCCAATTGCAGAACAATAAATATTTAGAGATTTCCAATAATTTTGGCCATTGTAGCAACTAATGTAGCGCGCTACATTTTACTGTAGCGGTAGCGGTGGCGCCCGCTACATTTAGAGCATGTAGCGGTAGCGGTAGCGCCGCTACATTTCCAAGTAGGGCTGCCCAGCTCTGGTAATTAATGTTGTTAGCGATGGCTGGCGGTAGTGGCGGCTGGTGAAAGTTGCTAGCAATTGTTGGGCCTAAGAATTGTTGGGCCCAGAAATAATTTCTGCAAGTAATGACAAACATTTGTAGGAAAATTAGAGATCTTTTTTAGTAACGACTAAAAATATCTAAAGTGCTTTAAAAACTAAAGGATATCTTACTTCTCACGATGAGTCGCACATAAGACTGGTCAGTGCTGTCTTTCCCGCCAGTAAAACTGTAGAGGCCCGCGTCTTCAATCGTCAGGTGCCCTAAGGACGACGTTATTGCACCGTTAACCGTAGGGAGTCGGTTTATTGTCACTCCTCGAGGCACGGACACAAAGGTTATGTCTTCACCCACACTCTTCGTCACCGTTGATAGCGGGGGCGTGTAGGTAGCTAGAACATAAACATTATCTGAAGAACAGGTATTAAAAGTCTTTGTTTTCAATAATCAATAATAAACGGCGATGTGTAAACGTAGGCGCGGAACGATACACGATATGATCGTTCTGGTTAATCTCCCGTAATTTATTATACCGTTGATAAAAAAGTGAGATTGAGTTGGTTGTATCGACATGCATTAAGGAATCAACAGAGAAAACACTGTAAGTACTTGAGCGACACAAATTTTGAACAAGAAAAAAATGCATAATATAAAGTAAACAGTAAATCATGAATATTTTAAGTTGGTTATTAAATACAGTTCAAAATCACAGATTTTTCAGTGTTGTTGAACTAGCGGTTAGGGATTTCTTTTAAACATAGCGTGGGTAAGAACTACTGGCAGATATATATTGATTTTAATTTGGAATATTCGCACATAAAAGCAATTCAAGGTTAATGAAATAAAAATGAGTATATACACAAATAAGAGGTATAAGTATTTATTGGTAGAAGAAACTTCTATAAACACGGGTTGTTAATGACCAGAGAAAGCATTTCAGGACAATTTTCAGGATCGAACAAGGTAATGTTTTCCGGAATAAAGTAAGAAAGTAATATTTGCATGTATCATGTATACTTATTTCTATTGAAATTTCAGTACTGAATGCTTCCTATAACTTGAAAATAAATGTTGTCACATTCCAAACATTGTTAATTAATTAAAATTACTTTCTTAAACCTGCATTTTGATCAACCAACGTCATCTGCAGAATATTTTTCAACCCTGAAAATTTAAATCGATGAATTCTCTCGCCATTAACCACCCATGTTTAAACAATGCGAGGTATGTGTATCCCAGCTAGATCACACTAGTAATGAGGATTAACAAAAAATTTAAATTATTCATTACGGTACATGAACTACTTCAATTCAAACCCCTCAGCCCTTACCTCCCACTCTGCCAAATATGCTGGTGACGTCGCTCTCAGGCTGGTCGCTGAGGCACCTCAGCACTCGAGAGTTGAAAATAGCATTGCTGGTTGCGGTCAGGTAGTCAGAGCTTGTCGTGATCTCCACGGTTATGGGACTTGCCGTGAAGCTCTTGTAGTCCCAGCGAGTGAAATACGGAAACGGCAACTGCGTGCCACTCGAGGCCGGAATGCAAGCCACGGTTAAGGATACCGACGTCTGATCGCAGTAGCTTACTTTTGGTTTGTTGTATGATCGGTAAATGTACGGGCATGACTGATGGTTGTTGTTGTGTACCATGATGACGGCTGTGCCTGTTAGCTTTGTTTCTGTTGGAATTATCAAGTACGTGACATATTATGAAATTTTTATCATCGTAGCTTATTTTTTACCAAGTGGCTTTAATGAACCTTAGATTGTGCTTTTTTGGCTAGATGGAAGTAGGAATATTCCCAGTGAAAAATTAAATCCTTTATGGCATTTTCATGCGCAAATTGCCCTGTTTTTTTTTTTCTTTTTGTCCGGACAGAAAATACAAACAAATTTCAAACGCAATATCTATTTCGCATGTATATATATTATAAACTATAAATTGCCGATGACATTAAATCAATTTGGCATTCATGAAATATCATATCACATCATATCACATATCATATCACATGAAATATATTCAGTTGCTATCTCTGATGTTAACCTAGAAAATTTTAATGTAGTTATTCACGGTTAGTCATGTTTCTTTTCTCCACTTCAGCGAAATGCAAACTGACCTTAATTAAGATAAAAATAAGGAAAAATAATAATAGAAATAACATATTGTAAGAAAATGAGATAACAAAGCTTATATAGGATGATATCACTGAACGGTGGCCTCACCTGTGATCGTTGGGAAGGATATTTCACTGAAACTGAACGATTGTTGATTTGGTCTGGAAAAATTATGACATTTTTAGGTTAAAATATCCACGTGGTATCTAAACATTTAAAAATTTATCCATTCATATTGAAGATTCCATTATTGAATTAATTTCTTACAGAACACGTTTTTTTGCGTGAAGCTCCGTCAAGTTACGTATAATAACAGCAATAAGGTCGTATATACATACATACTGTATATAGGACTCTACACACATTTAAGACGTATTTTTTTGCAAAAAATCTGTTTCCTATTGTCTTACAGCGTAGACTAACCATTGATAAATAAAATCAAACATATACAAGCAGTAGCAACATTGTTCTGTGGTTTCATAACATGAAACAAAACTCCAATAAAATGACATAAGTATCATTCACTGAAAATGAAATATATATAAATAGCCACATGTAATGAATGGTATCATTCATTTCATCTATGACAGAGCGATTAATGCCTTGCAAGCATCACTCATATATATATATCTCAAGAAGGTAAATTTTTTCCAAAATAAGCAGTTTGCCAGAGAAGAAAATGACCTAAACAGTGATGTAATGTCAAAAGTTTCTATAACGCACTTGATTTTAGACACTACGTGAAAAAATTATCGAATACCAGTCTTTACTTATATTAAATAACAAGTCTTTACTCACTGTATATTCTTGTATTTCGACACAACGCGATTACGGATTGTGCCCACGAAGCTGTCGGTGGCCGTCGCAGATGTGAAGGAGACCTCCTTGTCCTCCCCGGCCCGCAAGACGCCGGCGTGGAGGGCGGCCAGACACACCGGGGAGCTCTGCCACGTTCAGCTCGGTCAGAGCAGCAGTTACAAAGTTGAATGTCTTACCGTGGGTTCTAACATGATCGAAATTGTCTTTTGCAACTGCGTGACATATCGACTAGGAAACATTTTAGAGAGACATAAAAGTTGTAAATAATGGTACTATAGATATTGTGAATCTTATGAACAACTATACATTTTTTCTCAGAACCTGTATTCGCAAGCGTGGAACGCAAATTTGCCACCGGCGTAGCGTTAACTTTGACTTTTTGAGATTCATGGGCCGATTTTTGCTTTTAAATTCATGAATTCATAAAGCATTGAAAGTATAAAAATCAAGTTCAATAATGGAATAATTTTTCCGATATCGCTAATCGTGATCCCAAATCCACCCTATGCTTGTTCAATCAATCGAATTAAAACCGCAACTTCCGACCATAATTTGACATTGAAACATGATTGATATTTTAACTTCAAGTATCCCGGGCCTAAGTGACATAAACTCATTACTTTTGACTAAATGCACCAAAAAAGTTGCCTCGTTTTCCGTTTTGACAAACCCTTATGTATAACACCACACGTAAATTCATATCTCTACTGAACATAATGAAAACGATAATTGGAAACAAAGTGACACAAATTTGAAGATAAAAGAAAAATTTCTAGGCATAGCTTGGACCCACAGACCTGAGAAAACGAAATTAATACTTACCCTTTCAAGATTTTGGTGACGGTTGGAAATATCAAAAACAGACTTCAGCCGAAATACCTTAAATGTGATTAGCTAGGAATTGCATTTTCTTATTTTCTTCAGGCTGAAAGCATATCATTGCTGCCATACTGTTAATTTCTCTCACCCCGTCATAAATTAAAGTGCCTGTAACGTCTGATCCCCCGCCGTATGCCTCGGAGTAGGACTGGTTCCGCCATGTCGTGCACGAGCCCGGGCACCTGATGCAAAGTTGGAAAAAATAGTTCGGTCAATATTCTGTGCTACGAATTTCAGAAATTACTCCGTTGCTGTCAAAAATGCATGCACAAACTTTGAAGATTACCGTAACTTGCGTCGCTATTCAAACAGCATTATTGGTAGTGTTGGAGATTTTAGCGTGTTGACTTAATTTTAATAAATACACTGAGGTTTATTTGGTAAATCAATTTTATTCAATGATGTCAAAGTATGAGACTGCATAAAACTTTTTTCTATTATTTTGTGCATAGTACATATCAATTTATTCAACTTGTAGCTGCAATTTATTCAACACTTTGTAGCTACAATAAATTATCATGGATATTCTTTGGTTGAAGTTCTGTGCCACTTTACTGCTGGTTCCAGCAGCCCTCTTATTCAACGTTCAGTGTAAGAATAACTCATACATTACGTTGTCTCGTGTACGCTTTACTTTCATGACAATCTACTTTTCTCTAATAACTTTTACTACCGAAGATATTGTTGTAACAATCGATACTAGTCTATGTGTAATTATTATCACTATTCACATTAGTACTGACTAAATTCCCCTCACCTATGACTGGTGCCGGCACTGTTCCCAAACGTTGTCGCGCACGCCCAATCAGCAGCAGGCGACTGCGCCGTTGCGGCCGTGAGGCACAGCAGCGCCAGGCACAGCGCCTTCTCAGGCACCCTCATCCCGTCGCTCTGATGACGTCACGCGTCTAACTTGCGGTCTTCACTGATACTTTTATTGAAGAATGGTTATACTAAGAGAGACTCTTACCATTATTCCAAATATGTTTTACTTTTTAGCGGGTGTTAATTTTAAGATCAAATTTATATAGATAATTGAATAAACCAGTGAAATTAAATAATTGGCTGAAAATTATTGCAGGGGTAAATGGCGTATCAAATGTGCATTTAAAGATCAGCATTAATGTCTCTTTTACTTTATGAAAAAATCGGCATATTGAAAAAACACAGATTTTCAATATTAAAAGACAAAACAAGCGAATAAATCAGAAGAACTTCACAATTTAATACGGAAATTTTAATGAAACATCACTCAAGATGCGCAGAAGTGCAAGTAGAAAAAATAAATCAGAAAAACTACATAATATTTTATATTCCATGAATGTATTTTTTATAGAAATTGCACCTAAGAATGAAACTTAAATAAAATAGAATATATGATTGGAAAATTTGTTGTTCTTGATTGTACAGTTTTCCGCCTATGACGCGTGACCAAAAACACGAATAAATTCATTCACGCCTATTCATTTTTGCTTACAAAATAAACAACCGATCTCATGGTTGAACTTCACCTTGATTCTTGAGTTCAGTTTCACAAACACGTGTTGAAAAAAAGCTAATCGCGGTATTAACATATTTTCGTAGTTATTCCACACTCGTTTTTTTGTTAATAAAGAATAAATTTCTTTAGTATATCGCAATACTTTTTTATACCCAGAATAAATTTCTTTATTGTTACCGCAAAGAATCGAAAGAAATTTATTTTACTGATAACTTTTAATGACGCGCATTTGTATTGACGAAGAGACGTAAGAGCTTGGCCGTCTCCGACGCCTCCATGGCACAAAACTGAGCGCAAAGCCAAACTTTATCGCTCGCTGCCACAGTGAGCGTTTCCGCTCGAACCAAGACCTGATAACCACAAATTCTCAGAACTCGAGAGAAAATAGAGATAAGTTCAGGCAAAAAGGTTTTTCGGTGGATATCGTGATTAAAAAATCATAAAAAATATAACTCAGTACTCAGTGACAGAGCGCATTTTCGCGTCGACGAAAACGTGAATTCACGGACGGACAGACAGACGGGCATGGCGAGCACAATAGTGCATTTTTTTCATAAATGAGAAAATGCGCTAAAAATAAAGTGAAATACTATAATGTCGTGCTCGGCAGGTTGAATAGTTCTAGAAGTTAATTTTTACCTTGCCGTGGTTTGTATGCGATCTCTAGTAAAGCTTTCTCATACTTGTATCCTGAATCAATTTTAAGAAACGACACCAAGACTGTGAACGGATGCTGCTATCTCCAGTCGGCTCCGCATGAGCAGCAGCGACATCGAAGTGTTGCAGCATGATGCTCATAGATTTATCCTTTGTAAACTTGTACGTCCGAATGCTACTGAAAAAGCTGAAATTGTCGAGTCTATATTTTGTTTGGAGTTTTTCACTATCAAGTTCACCTCTAAAAAGGATCAATTGTGTCAGTGCAGAGCATCAAATTGAGTACAAATATCTCTTAAAATGGATTAATTCACTTTATTCGTTCGATTTGAGTCCCTCTACCTCATATATTTTTGCGAAATTCGAAGTCAAATTTTATCAAGGAATTGATTATTTTATAGTAAGTCCTGATCAATAGCATTCACTTTCACTATTTTGTGAACTTAATTTCTATGATTTAAGGTATTCTTGAAATTTATTCGCAATTATGCTTATTGAGGCATGATCTATTATTTAGTTTACTTGTACTTTTACAAAGTAACTATTTACATCAAAGTGCGAAATAATACATTCATCACTTCGCTACATAGTTGAGGTTCAGTACTCAACTCATGGTTTACGGAATAAATCCTCCAGATATTTAAAACAAATATCCTAACACTATACTAATATTCTAATATTGAAACCAATATTCTAATATTAAAAAATCTATATTCTAATAATAATACTAATATTATAGCATTAAAACCAACATTCTATTTGAAACTGATATCCTTTCATATACAAATAATAAAATTATAAATCAGAAAAATAAAAAAAAACATAAATTAACTAACATGACAAGTAAAAGATGAAGGTATTAACATTAAAATAAAAAAGATTCAGGGTTTTCGATCCTTAATAGGCAAAATAATGACAGAAATGTAAATTAATGCGAGCAATAGAAATAATTTTACTCAAACTTTCTCGCGATGTTTAATGCAAATAATTGTAGACAACACTACTGAAATATCAGGATGGCGCGTTTATGTAAATGAAAAGGTTCAAGGAAAAGCGACGGAAGTCACTTTTCCTTCAGTAAAAGGCAGAAAAATAAAAAAGTGACTTTTCCTTTTTATGACTACGGGTTTGATCATCGATGAAATTTACAATTCAGATAAGAACGTCGAGAAAAAAACAACAACGGAAAATTCCCATTTCAATTACGATTTTACTCATGTTCATAGTGTGTTTGCAATAATTGAAATAGACTTAACAAGGTTAAAAGAAATAAAAAGATCGGACGCGTATGATTCGTTTCATTTAAACTCAATACAAACCTTTACAAGAATCAAAGGAAGTGTTTTATTTACTGCTTATTTTTTGAGAGCGACTGCCTTCTTGGGTACAGGTTATTAAAGCTGAAAATGGTGCATCATTTATTAGATGTTGTCATTGAAGCTTTGGCCAAGTCAGGTTACCAGCTTTTCGGCCGGGAACTCATCTCTCAGAAGGGATGTCATCATGAAAGGCCAGCCCGTGGGCCATTCTTTCAAAACTCGCTAAGTGAACGTAAGTACTTACGCTCCATTTTCTTGTCCGTGATTGGTGGATTTTGCTTAAAAGGCCGTCAATGATTGGCTGATGAACTTACGATCTCTTAACTTTTTTTGGAAGTATAGGCCCAGTTCTTTGCTGTTCTGCTCCAGTGGCTGTTTTGGTGGCATGAGTGCAGGAAGAGCAGCTTTCCAATGGAGCAGAACCAACCATTCTCATCTCATCTAATATCCCGACACGATAAGTAACGTGCATAATATCCCGACACGATAAATAACGTGCATAATATCTACGACAAGTATCGTGCATAATATCCCGACACGGTAGGTGTCGTGCACAATATCCCGACACGATAGGTGTTTTGCATAATATTACGATGCAATATATATCGTGCATGATATCCCGACAAGGTAAGTATCGTGTATAATATCCCGACACGGTAAGTATCATGTATAATATCCCGACACGATAAGTATCGTGCACGTTACCTACGCAACCGATAGTCCTCAATATATTCCCTGTGTAATGTTTCAAACTCACAAACGAACTTGAATATATATAATGCATGCCAAAGTGAGTTATATTATTATCAAAAAATATTTAGAAATCCACGTTTCTCATCTTAATATCAATTCCCGCGTATCTTTGACAGGAAACCATGAAACCCTGAACCCGCTTGGCTGCCTGAGCACAGGCGTTCACAAAACATAAGGCATATACCCCTTCTAAGTTCTTTCATACATGCGAGGATTTTTGTTTTTGGCCTAGTAACCATAAAGAGAAACAGTCAAAGTTAACACCTTGCATTTTTATATAAGATTTATTTCTAGATTGTGCTAGAAAATAGTGAAAATTTTACATTTAATTTCATTTTCGTTTATAGAAGAAGACTTCACACTCATAAACGCAAGTTAAGTAGTCTCTTTGTTTAGGCTTGAATATTTTGCAATTTTAAAATAATTTTCAGAGAGTCAATGATTTTTTGGAGGTGTTTGGATTTTTGCGTGTCTAATAACTATTATAAAAATAAACGAAACCTAACCAAGAAGTTAATTTTAGTATTTATTTCTCGAACTCCATTTATTTAAAATAAGGTTGGAAGTCTCAAAAGAATTAAGTCCCGGTAAAATAATGTCTACCAATAACTGATCTTAGTTTTTCTAGATTAAAACTTTACTGTGTTTGTGCAAAAGGCTTCTGAATAGCGTGGTCAAGTCCCGCAGCAGCAGTTCATGCCGGCGTCGCAGTCTGCGGGGTCGGTCGATGTCGGCCGCTGAGTTATCGACCGCTGAGTTAGTTACCTTGATTGAGTCGTGGGTTTCCAAGACATTTGAGGGCTATGACTGATTGTGATGGATTTATACATCAAAGGTATTACAAGGAGGGTACTTAACTCCATAACATGCAGAAAAATTATAGGTTAACAAATGGAAGTGAATTCGCATTAGAGGAATTGTCTTACCACAAAGCATGCAGTTGGAGGGTTTACTCAAGCAATCTAAATTCGAGGTAATTTGTTGTTTGCTGCAGTACTTTAATATATTTTTTAAATTATGAGTAAGAGCAGTTTTTTCCGCTGCTTCAAAAATCCTAAAAGGTTTACAACTTTTTATGTCATTAAAATTCGTCACGGTCGAACCTTGATACAGGATGCGATTCAAAAACGAATGGGAAATTCCGTTAAATTCTCAGTGCAACTCAAAACATTCAAGCTCGAAAAATTTGTTGGGACCAGACTTGAACAGTTCTGTTAAAATGCCGTGTCTAGGCAAAAATATTTTATTGCTGTTTTTCTAGATTAATGATAATTTTGCTATGGGAATAAGGCGTTATTGAAGCTGAATCTTTCTAAACTTATCGAGCAAGTTGGAGAAAGAGAGTTCTAGATGAATTGTCTCGGTTAATGGAGTTGCTTCGGAGGTTAAAACCAACAGAATTTTTTATGCAGATTTAACATCACCCTCAGTTGTGCTCGTTGCTGTGCCCGCTTCTCTACTTATTTTGATGTGAAAGAAATACTTATATATTCATATTTAGTTATGTTGTGGTTCAATTGCCTATGTAGGGCTTTGTGCTCAGAAGTTGTAGTATAATTTCGAAAATAGTATTTAACAAATGAGACACAGGAGAATTAGGCAACCGATCGGAAGAACGGCTTATAAAAAATGAACCAGCCCCTAGAATGAAACAAAATACAAATAATTTTATGTATAAACTGTTTTTAAACTACGATTATTCACATAAAACGTTATTAAAATGTACAGAAATATGGCATGCCAATAATTAAGTATCGAAACGTGGAGGGAAATGTTTTATAATTACATCAAAATTAAGGGAGACGTGGTAGACAGCGTATGTATGCGCTACCATTCGCG